CATTGGAGCAGCGTGATATGGTTCATTGAATATGTGGCGACATATGCAATGGTTTGTTCGCTCCTATGTTGCGTGGGTTTGCCGGCCTGCTGCTTTTGGGGAAAATAAGGCGAGCTACGCGATGTGGCGAGCACCTGTAGTATCCCACTGGCAGTGGAGAGTCCTTGCACCATTCATGCTCCTACTACGGTTCTACCACTGGAGGCGGTTTTTCGTTGAGGTTTTATTTGGTGGTTCGCTGCAAGCAGGGATTCGTGGATGGGTATGCTGCTGCTACATTTCGGCCCTCTTTGGGGCGCCGAAAAACCTTTTCATGGGCATGCAAGGCCGCGCAGTTTGGGGCGATGACTACTCCTATACATTGTTTGAGCTCGTCCCGGTCCCAAGTCCGGGAGCCATCTACTCCGAGTACACTTCTTTACATCGTGCTGACAGCACACGGCTTCCCTCGGGTGGGAAGATGGCGGGGGGCGCATGGCGCCGAACATCGTGCCGGTCTACGAATTGGTTTGGATGGGATGGGTGCTGACCTCTCGGCCCCTGCACTATCGTTTGCAATTTTGACGACGCTGCGTCAAGTCATCCCCTGGTAGCGCTGTGGCTCATGGTGAGTCAGAGCGAGAAAGCCGTGATGCTGCTGCAGCATATTTTGGTCTGACAGAGCAGGCCAGTGAGTTGGTGACGAGGATTCGCCTGTCACAACTGGGCAGTTTCTCTGCGAACGGGTGAAAGTGCTGTGGCTTTGTGGTGAGTAAGCGCGAGAAAGCCTGCTGCAGCTGCCCTTGACGGTCTGGCCGTTTATTGGCTTGCGTGGGCACCCTTTTTCAGAGAAGTTGAACATGCTCTTCTGGCTCCTCTGCAGTACGTGGTGGCAATGGTCTCGGTTATGCGTGAGGACCCCTTTTTCCTTGCTGCTGGGCACTTCTTGTTTGTTGTGCACGCGATTGCTGTGCTCCTACAACCAGTACTCATTGCTGTGGTTCCTCTGCGTGTCTATGGGCGCTGTTGCTCTTGGTGAGTAAGTGCGAGAAAGCCTTTCTGCAGCAGCGTTCTACGTTGGTGTGGTTGGTTATGCTGCAACTCATGGTGAGTAAGTGCGAGAAAGCCGTTTTGCTGCAGCTTTCTGCTACACTACGGACCTCCTGGGCTCGAGGCGCCGTTGGTCGGCCCATGGTAGAGACTTGCGCAGTGCACAGTCTACTTGCCTTCACAGTGAGCCAGCACTAGGGCCTTCTCTTCTTTAAGCCTGCCCAGTTGCTGGCTGCACAGTTCGTGAACCTTGTACATGGCATGTAGGCTTGACCACCTGTCTAGCTGTAATATGCAGCTCCGCTGATGAGAGAGCGGTTTAGGGACAGGGTTGGGCATGTTGTCCGGCGCGCCTAATGGCCGTATCCACAGTGATATGTTGCGCCCGCAGAATCGCTGACTCAGTGAACGCGTTTGAATGAAAAAAAATGACGCGCCAAGTCGTTGCTGCTTCTTGGGTCTTCCAAACCCCTGCAGGGTACACGATGACGTTGTTGTGGAAGCATTGCGTGAGGTGTTACGGCAGGCACGTCGCTTTGTGGCCCAGGCTACTTGACCGAGGAAGGGACTTCTGTCTTCTTTTCTCCCCTTACCTAGGAGGGGTTTTTCGTGTTTTGCACCCAGTGAGACAGAAGACCTGCGTATCAGACAGGTGATCGATTCTGTACCCTTCCTCGGAAAAAGGCTCGATTGGAGCGACTCAGTGGGAATGAATAATCGAGATGATGAAGATATATTCATGGGATGAATTTGAGAACAAAATAAGGGCCTTGTACTCTTGAGTACAAACCTTTATTTTGAGAGAAAATTTTTCACCATGGAATGCGTGAGAAATTTTGGCTCAGCCCGAGAGGGCACTGAGAGTCAGATGAGCACGCCCACCCACCCAGCAGTGAAGGAGTGATGCTATTGCGGAGTGACGGCCCGTCACATTGACTGGCTCTCCCCCTGAGTTGGCAGCGCGGTGGCCCAAGCTTAGTTTTTACTGCACTGCAATGGATGCGCCTCCTAGGATCACTGCCTTGCAGATGAGAGCCTTCGAGATTTGGGTTCGTACGTTGAGTATGGACCAGCTCATCATGCTGGCTGAACGAATCGAGGACGTTCTGGCAGATAGAGAGCTAGAGCTCCGCGAGCGGTGGCAGGCCAGGCGCGATCGGCTGAATGTTTCCCTCTCGGCAGCTGCGAGCTCGTCTTCTACGCGGCAAGAAGCCCAGCCGACTGAACAACATCCAAGTTCTTCGTCTCATGACCAGTCTTGGGAGTTGCTTGACCCGCAGTAGTCAGACTCCATCCATACGTTAGGTCCACTTGGCAACGACCTTGAGTGCAAAAGATGTTCTCGGTGTGTTCACGTGTGTTGTCTTCGTGTTGTGTCAGTGAACAGTGATGCCTGCGCCAGCTCCCCAATCAATCCGTCTTCTGCTGGTTTCGGGCTCAAATTGTCTGAAGCCGCTTATTACCTGTGCTAGCTAGCTTCAGCGAGTGACCTTGTTTGACGTTCGGTATGAAGCGGGATGCTGAAACTGCGTGTCTTGACGAGGGCACGAACCGTGAATCCAGGGTCCAATGGCTGGCAGTGATGGTCACCAATGTTCCGGTTGTGGATGTTGTGCTTTGTAGAGTGGCAGCTACAGGAACAGTCGACGACATCAAGTTTGCGGTTGCTGATGACGTATGACATCGCACCGGGCATGACATGAGAACTTCTAGTTTTCGCCTGGAGCTGCAGGGACGACACGTGCCGTTTAGCACGAACCTTAGCGATTTGCCTTTGAATCCTGGTGCTTGCCTGCACTTTGGTCTCCGACTCACCCACTGACAGGACGACTACTTAGGCAGAACCTCTGAGCGTAGGCGGTGCGCATGTCTCACACACCCGACGGGGTTTTTCGTGTTTTGCACCCAGTGAGACAGAAGACCTGCGTATCAGACAGGTGATCGATTCTGTACCCTTCCTCGGAAAAAGGCTCGATTGGAGCCACTCAGTGGGAATGAATAATCGAGATGATGAAGATATATTCATGGGATGAATTTGAGAACAAAATAAGGGAATAGGACGTCGGCCCAGGCTTGTCTCGCCTGAGGTAGGAGTAGGAGGGCATGCGATGCATTACCACTAACCGACAGCAGCAAGGGCCGTTTTGTATCTTCGAAGCGCACTGGCTGGGCATTAGGGTCCACAAGCGCCTCCATCTCCAGGCCCGAGAGGCCATACGAGTTGGCTACATGTAATATGCTGCCAGCTACACCGACCGGAGCAGGACTGCTCCGACCCATCATACCGCTGACAAAGACACTTCGACTCTGCCCCGGCTGGCGCCGCGAAAGCCATGACGGCAGCCTGCGCCCGCGTTGAAGAGTCATCATCCCAGCATGTCACTAAGGCCGACAGCGTAGCAGTTGTCCCTGCCGCACGAACGTAACGCACAAGAAACCCCCGTTCGCAGGCTCACTATTTTAATAGGAATACAAGCCTGTGGTTAAAAGGACCTATCTTGACTGCCCGGCCGTTTCGTTCACAATATTCGCACGGCATTCATGCGTCTTTCATCCTTATAATGCCGCGTGAATATTATTCTCTTCACTATTAATAAGCCTTTTAATGTGGAAATCATATGCACACGGGCGTATATTAAAATGAAGAGAGAACCGCCCGTGAAGAAGTCCATGAATTTCCTGCCTCACTTCGTTCTTTCGTTCGTACACTATTATCTTTAGGCAAAATCGGCCATGGCAATTCCTCGCCCTTGAAAAAGGAGTGGGCTGCACATGCGAGCAGAGCGAACTGTCCAGTGGGCATGCATGGGCGGCTACGCCAGACCGGTATACTTAAACAAGATGAAAGCATGCCTCTCCTCCAGTACATGGTAACCCCGGGAAAGAGGTGCAGGCGCGCGTCGCCCGTTTGGGTTTCTGGAGCCGCCCATAGTGGGGCCATGAGACCGGTGCCCCAAATTGCCTCGGGCAAGGTCGGAAGGCGGCTGATCTGCCCCCACCGTTCAACCACTTGCTTTCCTTTGACTCCGTATCCATGGACAAACGGGGGGGGCGCCGCTTGGGAGAAACGATTGGCCATCAGCAGATCAGGCCCGGGCAGGGTGGCAAAACAAGAGCGAGGGCTACTAAATCCTCGTAAGAGAGAGAGGAAGCCCTGCTCATAAGGTCCTTGCCCCCATGTACGAACTCCGCTGACAAGCTTGAGATTGGTCAAAATGTATGGCAGGCTCAGGGCGTCAAGTCTGCGTTCTTCCAGGGTGTCCTTCGCGCCTCAAACGGTCTTGATTGATGGGCACTCGAATGTTGTTCGCGTTCAGTGATAGCCTGAATTTTGTGAATAAGGACATTCGCCCAGGTCGAATCGACATTTATGCTTTATATTGTTGGGATGGCCTTGCAATAGTCAATGTTGAGAACACACGAAGTTTTGCTTGAACTGTGTTGAAATGCTTGAAGATTTCTGAATGCGTCAAAAGTCAGGTGTATCTTCACGATTTAAGACATCACCGTGTTCATCATTGCCTTCGAAGAGATGTTGTTTCAACTATCTTATAGCCGCTTAAGCAATTTCCCCACTCTCTGTCGTGATTCGTTTGCATGGCATGTCGATGTGGGTTTAACGAGCCTCCGCTACATTTGCTCCGTCCGAATTGTAAGATATGCTGTTCCTGTGAAGTGTAAATTGCTGCGATTGCTTTGTGTAAAAATGAGTTTTGAGAACCTTCGTAATATGCATTTCTGAGAATGTGTGAACTTTCGAGCGGTACTAGTGGAAGCAGTAGTAGAAGTCGTAGTCGTGGTCGCTGGCCGTGGTTGTAGCGATAGTAGTGATGCCAACAAATGGGCGTGGCAGTGGTAGAGGTCGTAGTTGTTGCTGACGTTGACATGCAATTACCAGTCTCGGATGCATTTTGCCCCACTTTGCCAAATTGGACAAGGCCGTTTGTTCGCCTTTTGTGCCTTAGTTAGTGATGGCGGGTGCTGGGCAGCCATGGTACATGCCACTGCTGTGGCCTGCCGGCCATGTCTACAATGCCACGAGGCCTCTGAACACGAAGCGCCATTCTCTTTCAAGGGTTTAGGGTTTAGGGTTTAGGGTTTAGGGTTTAGGGTTTAGGGTTTAGGGTTTGGGGTTTAGGGTTTAGGGTGTGAAGCTTGATTGACAGGTTTGACCAGTGCTCCTCCTCACCGCGTCCACGGAAGCACATGTAAGCACATTGACATGTTATTTGCTTTCCCGAAGCCCAACACGTTTTGTGTGTGTTTTTAGCATTTTTCAATCTTGTTAGAGAAAGGGGGTGGGGGTGGACATGCATGGGTTTCTAGCACTTCTGCATTGTTTTTGCGTGTGCTTTGGTGCCACGTGGTCATTGCTCGCAGCATTCTGAAAGTGTGGCGGTTCGGGAGGCCCGCGAGTATATCTTTTGATATACGGGAACAATGCAAAGATTTTGTGTGTGTGTGCTTTTGTATGTGTGTGTGTGGGGTTTGGAAGACATTTGGGGAGCTCCAAAGGGGGGCGAAGCAGGTTCTCAAGGTGCGAAGGGGTCTGGCAGGAATCAAGCTTGGATTGTAACAAAAGCTCAACCTAGTAGTAGAGTAGGTAACCTTTAACCTTTTTGGGGTAGTATAATCCCCTTGAATTCCCCCAAGGTTACTGGACAACTAAGTCCGAGTCGAAAGTGTCTTGGGCTCCCTCGGCTTTCTGAAGGAAGTTTTGTTCAGGAGCTCTAGACACTAAACCCTAAGCCTTGAACCTTAAGTCCATAGCCCGAAACCCAAAGGTTAAAACCCAAAACCCTATATACACCTTAAACCCAGAACCCAAAACCCTGAATCCTAAACCTTAAACCCTAAACCCTGAATGCCAGGGGCAAGCTCGAGCCACAAAAGCTTTCGGCGGCACCGGAGCTCGACCTCGTGGGCCATGACGCTTTTCCGCAAGATGCAGTTTTGGGGTTCAGGGTTTAGGGTCTAGGGTTTAGGGTTTAGGGTCTAGGGTCTAGGGTCTAGGGTTTAGGGATTAGGGCCCGGTTGCAGTGTTCCACGACGTCGATGCCTTGTTAGAATCATTAGTGTTGTTCTCTGAACTAGGTCCTGCTTTTGGCGTCCCTTTATAGTATGGCACCGTAGAAGAAGGACCCCCCCCAAAAGGGACCTGATTTAGAGAACAGCCCATGAGCTTTCTTAACGTTATGACTGCTTCTTTGTTTTCTGTACATGTTTGCAATATTGATATCGTGTGGCGTCTGTGAGTTGGTTTCTGCATTGTGGTGGTTGTTCTTCCACGTGCTACGGCAGTCCCCAGTACCCGTAGCGTCGGCGCAAGATGGGACATCAGCTTTTCTACGGGTTCGGATATGAACTTACAGGGACCGGACATGTCAGAAAATGTGTGTGTGTGTGTGTGTGTGTGTGTGTGTGTGTGTGTGTGTGTGTGTGTGTGTGTGTGTGTGTGTGTGTGTGTGTGTGTGTGTGTGTGTGTGTGTGTGGGTGTGGGTGTGGGTGTGGGTGTGGTGTGGGTGTGTGTGTGGTGTGCGTGTGTGTGCGTGTGTGCGTGTGCGTGTGCGTGTGCGTGTGCGTGTGCGTGCGTGTGCGTGTGCGTGGGCGTGGGCGTGGGCGTGGTGCGTGGGCGTGGGCGTGGGCGTGGGCGTGGGCGTGGGCGTGGGCGTGGGCGTGGGCGTGGGCGTGGGCGTGGGCGTGGGCGTGTGCGTGTGCGTGTGCGTGTGCGTGTGCGTGTGCGTGTGCGTGTGCGTGTGCGTGCGTGTCTGTGGTGTGTCTGTGGAGTCTGTGGTGTGTCTGTGGTGTGTCTGTGGTGTGTCTGTGTGTGTGTGTGTGTGTGTGCACTGGCTCTGCCTCCCTGCAAGATCACATCCATGGCTTCATCGGCGCGTTCATTCCTTCTCGCTTACGTGGCGATCTATGCAGTCTACGAAGATGGCGGCTATCCTGCCTTTGGTCGTGCCTTGGGGGCTGAATGGGCCCGAAAATCGGAAACCTACACCCCATGATTATACGTTATAAGCAGTTTATGGACCTTAAACCCCCTCTGAATCCCTTGAGTGCATTGAATTCTTCGAGGTGGTGCCAGTTTAAGCCTTGATTGGATGTGGCCCATCTTGCTTCGCAATCTGTTGGCCACTTGGAGTCCTAGCTGCAATTCATTTCGGTGGGTTTGGGATCTAAGGTTGCGGGTACTGTTGAGTTCCATGGTCTCTCTCTCTCTCTTTCATATATATATATATGTAATTTTTTAGTAACACACATATATAGAAACACATGCTCCAGGAGAGTATCGAGTGAAGACATTGGGCACAACACTGGCAGTTTTCTGCGCACGCGCCGAGGATCATCTGTGGCTTCTGGGACTGGTTCCTATACTTATCCCCATGGAAGGAGTCGCTTCGCCAGTTCAAGATGAACAGCAAGTACCCTCCGATGAGCCAACTGCGGCATGATGCAGTGGCTTGGGGACGACATGAACCCTAAAAGGGCTTATGGTTCATATTACCTTAAAATAGGGAATTACGGTAGTATAGGATATATGCACCCTAAACGGGCTTATGGTTCATATTACCTTCAGGGAGTTGTAGTAGTGTAGGGTATATGCCCCACTGTTAGGGTTCATTTGGTCCCCAAGGTGGCCAGCACCGTTGCCACGATTTGCGGCACTTTGGTAGAGATCGTCCTATGCCACTTGTGGGCCACGAATGCACTGACGATGCACAGAAAGCTCAGCGACGCACCTTTGCAAAGCTGTGTGTTTACTTTGACCATCACACATTGGCGAGTTCCTCATTTCTACCTGATGCACCGGGCTCTTCACCCATGGAGGACCACGACGGTACCAGATTTCGGCCAGGTGCTCTACCGGCATGTGCACGCGCAGCACCACAAGTCCTACCTGCCAACTGCTTTTTCCGGTACCAACATGCACCCCGTGGAGGCCTTTGGGGGTATATAAGGGAAGGTATATAAGGGTTCCAATGAAGGGCCCATATTCGGGGCCAGGGCTCAGAATCGAAGACCGAACGAAGATGTACTTGAGGGGTTTCGGGTTTAGGGTTGAGGGTTCAGGGTTTAGGGTTTAGGGTTTAGGGGTTTAGGGTTTAGGGTTGAGTGGAGGCCACATTGTACTACGCAATGCCGACAGTCTTCATGGCATGGCTGGTGCGCCTTCATCCCACCATTGCCGTCGCCTGCATCTTCGACTGCGCCATCGGCGCTTGGCTTGGTCATGATGGGTTTCAGTGGCCTGGGTCAGGGGATTACTTCCACCAGCTGCACCATGAGAACTTCGACTGCAATTTTGGAGCCATGCATGTGCCCATGGACAAGTGGATGGGAACATTCTGCGGCAACAATGCCGACTTGCACACGATTTGGGGTGAGAAGAAGGTTGGGCGAGAAGCAAACCTTGAAGACACGAAGATTTGGAAGTGCCAGTAAAGGTTCCTGCTTTAAGCGTGGCAACAATAGCTTGCACAACTGTACACAACAGGAATCCAGCGTTGTGAAAGAAACAAGGACGCTTATGCGCGATGTTCATTCCCCATAATTGGGTCGTGAATTTTGATTGGGTGATGGACGAAGTCAATTTCGACTGCCGGGGCTGTTTACGTCATGTTGAAACTGCTCTGTTGGATGCTACCTTCACGTATCACTCGTGCAGGTTCGGTTGATTGGTGCTAGGCTCTTATCCTGCTAATGTCTGTGTAGTAATGTCCCCAAGTCACAGCAACACACAAAGTTATGCATCCTTTGCGTCAGCCACATTCTGTCTGCTTTCGTTGTGACCTTCGTTTTGCGCTTCAATTCGTGATGACCCCCGAAACGTTGGGACCAGAGTTTGGAGGGAGCATCTTTGAAAGACCTGTACATTCTTCGCATACCCCAAGATGGCTGCCTGGCATCTGATTCGTAGGGTCAAGGGTTTAGGGTTCAGGGGAACAGGCTCAATTTTAGCCGTGGTTTGTGTGTTGTATGGAGAAGCGGATCTTCCTTCTTATGGCAGCTCGATGGTAAGAATAGTTTCGGCCATGGACGTTTGATTCAAGCAGCATTTGTCTGCTGGTCGTGATGCCCGGGTTCAGCGTGCGATTCTCTCGAGAGTTGCGTCGGCAAATCCGTTTGGTTCAAGACTCCTAGCGGAGAAGCTTGCGACTCTGCGGAGACAGAGTCTGTACGTTGTATGCGAGACACGCACGCGCTGCACTCCCCATGGCGCGCACGGCCGCGGTCGCGGTCTTCCTGAGTCTTCTTGCAGCCGCTGCATCATCGGAGATTCCATCGGAGCTGGTGCCACCGGACCATGAGTCCCTTCAGCACCTTACCTTCTTGGAGGTTCTGCACGTGGAGCAGGGGCTTGCGGAGCCCAAGGCGAGTGGGCTCCGCATGCCGTCGCCGCCGGTCCCCGGCCTGGTGAACCTGGCGATCCAGGGCCCCGGCTTGATCCTGCAGGCTCACAAGGGATGCTTGATTCCTTAAAGAGGGTTTAGGCTTTAGGGTTGAGGGTTGAGGGTTTAGGGTTCAGGGTTCGGGGTTCCGGTGTTTCAGGGTTTAGGCTACGAGTGTTGAGGATGTTCAGGGGATGAAGACTCGCACCCCTAAGGTTGTACCCCTCAAGGTTCCCCTCAACATACTCCCAATGTGGCTCCTATGTTCCCTTAAGGGATCCTTTAACAGGGACCCCAAAACCCAAGGGTACAACCTTAAGGGTCCAAGGTAGAACCCTAAGCCCTAAACCCTAAACCCAAAACCCTACACCATGAACCCTAAACCCTAAACCCTTAAGGGTCCAACCCTGGAGGCTTTGATGGGTGGTGTGGAGCTGCCGGGCGCACTGGACTCCAAGTAGCCTGGCCGTTTTGTTGGAGATGCCACTTTCGTTGATTTCGAACCCTAAGCCCTGAACCCTAAACCCTAAACCCTAAACCCTAAACCCTAAACAACCAGGTACGAAGATGGCACGGCGTTGGGGAGCGGCACCTTTGGCATCACCTTCCTGGCCACCCGAAAATCCGACCACCAGAAGGCCCCCTGGTTCTTAGTAGGGAATGAGGGAATAGTAATAACCCTAAACCCTAAACCCTAAACCCTAAACCCTAAACCCTAAACCCTCTATATACACAAACATTCCCTTTAAGGGATCCTACATCGGGTACCTCCTTCCCTCCTGTCCCTACGAACAACCAACCAGAAGGTGGCTGTGAAGGTCTTCAAGTATGGCGGTGTTTGGGCGTCGCCGGGAACCTGCACGAAGCTGCTTTGTCAGGTTTAGGGTTTAGGGTTTAGGGTTTAGGGTTTAGGGTTCATAGCTGGTATCTTGCATTTTTACGTGTACTTAAAACCCAATGAGGAATAAACAAAGTCATTTTAAATATGATCCCGACCATGGACTAGGCTGGAGTGCATTGCCCATCTCAAGATGAGCGCGTCGGAATGTCTGGACACCCAGCGACTCCCAGCGGCACCGTGTGCAACCTTTTTAAGGAACCCTAAACCCTAAACCCTAAACCCTAAACCCTAAACCCCTAAATGCATGCATCCTTGAGCCGCACGCTTGATCTAGCTGTCCCAAAGGACCCAACAAACCTGTATCGGGTGGAGAAAACGAAGCCCTGAACCCAAAACCGTAAACCCAAACCCCACAACCCTTAGGAGGTTCCTCCTCATACTAACAATCCTTAATAGGGATTCGAATAGCGCGTACTATCATGCCCATTCAGGGCTGTTAGTATCCCCAAACCCGACAACCCCAAGATGTAAGAAGCGCTAACCAGGCATCCATCAGGCTGATAGCCAGGCCCTAACCCCTAAACCCTAAACCCTGAACCCTAAACCCTAAACCCTAAATCCTGAACCCTAACCAGGCATCCATCAGGCTGATAGCCTGGATCAGGAGGCATCCGATCACGTGGTCAAGTGCCTCTTTGACGGTATCACGCCGGGGTTGGAAGGAGCGACATCACCTGAAGGGCCCACAACCTCGATAGGGTTTAGGGTTTAAGGGTTTAGGGGTTTAAGGGTTTAAGGGTTTAGGGGTTTAGGGGTTTAAGGGTTTAAGGGTTTAAGGGTCTAAGGGTTTAAGGGTTTAACGGTTTAAGGGTTAAAGGGTTTAAGGGTTTCAGGGTTCAAGGGTTTAGGGCTCTTGACCCAAAACTCGCGGTTCTCCACGCCAGGCGGCACTTCGCAGAGTCAGCCTTATTACATCGAGCTGAGCTTTGCCGGGCGCGACGACGTGGACAAATGGTGGGGGAAGAGGCTGACCAAAAGCCTCGCCGACGAGGCCTACGTGCAAGACGTGAAGTCGGTCGCCAAGGGCGTCTACCTCGGGCTTCGCTTCATGGGGGAGAGCAAGACGGCAGTGCACTATGTTCATGCCGACTTGAAGCCTCAGAACATGGTGGTCAACGAGGAGAGGAATGAGACAAAAGTGCTGTTTAGGGAATAGGGTTTAGGGTTTAGGGTTTAGGGTTTAGGGTTTAGGGTTTAGGGTGTTGGTTGTGAAAACTTTGTGCCACCAAACGCGCGGCCTGGAGTGTGTCTCAATACACTAAGCCACGCGGACTCTGGGTTTAGGGTTCCGGGGAGTCAGTCCTTAGCCCTAAACCCTAAACCCTAAACCCCAAACCCTAAACCCTAAACCCTAAACCCGGGTCCATGGCCCGAAGCTTAGAGGACCCATGGCATGTCGGAACCTCAGGTAACTGGGGGTTTGGGTTGGGATGTTCCCCCTTCTACTCATGTAGGGTTTAGGGTTTAGGGTTTAAGGTTGAGGGTTGAGGGTTTAGGGCTCTTAATAGGCATTGTAGTACCCACTATTAGAATCCGGAGCTGTTAGTATAAGGGGGAACATCCCAAGGTTTGGGTCTAGAGTTTTGGGGGAGCTCCTTCTCTGGTCGCGCTCTGGTTCTGGCCGCAGCCTGCAGTTCGCATGACGCAACCCTGGGATCTTGTTTAGGGTTTAGGATTTAGGGTTTAGGAACCCTCAGCTGAACCCTAAACCCTTGACAGCAAGCAGCCTTGGAAGGACACCGGGCAAGTGGTCATCGTGGACATGGGCACGGTCCTGTGCGATGGCGATGGCCAGACGTGCGCGAAGAAAACCAGCGGCACCACCCCAATTTTTCGACCCCCCGAGGCTCGAGCTGAGGGGTCGGTTTAGGGTTTCGGTTTCAGGGTTTTGGGTTTAGGGCTGGAGTTTTTGCTGAGGGCTCGGGCAGGGTCTAGGGTCTTAGAGATTCCTGTATCCTAGTCAGGTCTAAGAGACAGGTTTTGGTCCTTTCGGGAGGGCCCTAAAAAAGGGCGTCTTGTGGTGTTTGGACTAGTGTATATTTCGAAGCCACATTTTCAGGGCACCCGAAAAACCGTAGTTTTGTCAAGCTGGCCACATGACTGGTGCAACATAGGTTTGTGTGCAGCAAGTGCAGCAGTATACCCGAAGCCCAAGAAACCAAACTCTAGGCCTAATCCCTAAACCCTAAACCCTAAACCCCAAACCCTAAACCCTAAACCCCAAACCCTAAACCCTAAACCCTAAACCCTAAACCCTAAACCCTAAACCCTAAACCCTTGAGGTTTCGCATCTCTCCCTCTTTCAGCCACAAGTGGGTTGGCAGAAGCCCGTGTGGTCGTTCGACGTCCACTCGGCTGCCCTCTCCATCCTGGGCATGGCGACGGATGGGAAATCTGGGTTGGTGATGCCAGGTAGGGTTTAGGGTTTAGGGTTTAGGGTTTAGGGGTTTAGGGGTTTAGGGGTTTAGGGGTTTAGGGTTTTAGGGTCTTGGGGTTTAGGGTAGGGGCTTCCGAAATTCGGGGTACCTTGTTGCGGTCCTCAGTATTCTAAGGGAGTCCTACTATTCGGGGATCTAACATGAGGGGTCCCCGAATGTTCGTAAGCCCCCCCAGGTGGAGAAACTCTTTCTGCAGTCCCTGTCATCACATACATGCTGTCGAATGGTGTTCAGAACTCAATGGCAAATTGGCCCACGGTGCGGAGGGTTGTGGAGTGTGCCGAAGCCGAAGCCCAGCCCAACACGCAGCCGTACTTTAACGCCCTTCTCCGGTGCACGAATGAGGAATCCATTGTCCACTACAAGAAGTTACCCAGCTTTTGCTCTTTAGGGTTTCGGGTTTAGGGTTTAGGGTTTAGGGTTGCCCAGAAGGTTTCGGTGCCAAATAAACCATCGCAAGAAAGGCGTTGTGTTCACTCATGCGAACCTCTTAGCCGGAAGCCTTCAACCCCGAACCCTCACCTCAACCCTAAACCCTAACCCTAAACCCTAAACCCTGAACCCTAAACCCTAAACCCTAAACCCTAAACCTTACACCGAGGCTGTTCGAGGAGCGCCTCGCGCAGGTTCGCGACGCCTCGGGCGACGCGCGCAAGGCGGCTCTTGCGAGTCTCGTGCACTGCCGCACGTCGAAGACGTCCCCCGCGGCCCTCTACGCCATGCCGGCCCTCCCGGATCCTGGGATCGTTTGTTGGGGGTACGGTTTAGGGTTTAGGATTTAGGGTTTAGTTTAGGGTGTAGGGTTTAGGGTTTAGGAGGGTTTAGGGTTTAGGGTTTAGGGTTTAGGGCTTACGGTTGAGGGTTGAGGGTTGAGGGTTGAGGGTTTAGGGTTTAAGGGAAAGTAGGGGTACCTTATTAGGGTCCTGATTATATGGGGATCCTACATTTTGGGGTTATTATATTAGGCCTTCATTTTCGTAACCGTCCTGTTTTTCCTTTTCAAGAAGTGGGGGCCTCTAAAATAGACCCCCGGACTAGAAGGACTCCCCAATAATAAGGACGCCCCAATAAGGTACCCCTCATTTCGGAAACCCCCATTTTAGGAGTTAGGGTGCAGGTTCAGAAGGTCAGTGTTCAGGAGTTGCTTGAGAAGTTCATGGGTACTTTGTACGTGGAGACCCGAGTTGCCACCCAACCTTGCTGACCTTTTCTAGACATGAACTTTCCAGTGGGGCTGACCTTCGGGCTTAGGGTTAACCCCCTAAACCCTAGACCCTGGACCCTAAACCCTGAACCCTGAACCCTAAACCCTAAACTCAAGGCTTAGGCCGCCCCCCTACGTTGGGGCGGGGCGCTTCAGCCCCTCGACCTCCATGTCGCAAGCACCAGGTCGTTCGCCCACATCCCACAGCTCGGAGGTCGGCAGCAGTCGGGACAAGTACTGGCCCCTTATCAAAGTCACGAGCTTCTGGGCGCCCGGCCTTGTACCCCGAGGGCCCCAGCCCAGAGAGGCCGCAGGACTCTCCTGGGAGGCCTCTAAACCTTTCTGTCTCTCTCAAACCTTTCGAGGGCCTGGAACCCTCCCTGCTCATCTGGAAATGTGGACTCAAAGGCAGTGGACTCAAAGCCACTGGTGACGGAAGACGTTTTATTGGAAGTAAGCAATTGGTCTGTTTAGGCCTAAACCGCAAAAGGAATAGGTTAGGGTGGCTTTGCCGCCTGGTGGGAGAAGTGTGTGAGATGGCCTTCCACAATCGGGCCAGAGCTGCTCTTCGCATTCGAGCCTCAGCATCTACGCCATAACTACAGCAAACCCCAAGCCTTAAACCCTAAACCCTAAAAGCCTAAACTAAACCCTAACAGCCGAAACCCTGCCTAAACCCACTTTGAGGCTCTTGGGGGCTAAGCTGGCGAACCCAGGGCCCTAGGGCTGCAACCTTTAGCGTCTTGGGTTTAGGGTTTAGGGGGTTTAGGGTTTAGGGGGTTTGGGGTTTAGGGTTTGGGGTTTAGGGTTTAGGGTTCAGGGTTTAGGGTTTAGGGTTTGCGGTTTGGGGTTTGCCAACAGCAAAACACCAAACCCTTTTTTTGGGCGCATCTCAAAACAACCCAAGCCAAGAAGGAAACTCACGTGCCGAAGTTCTTCTGGACTTTGGTGGACGACTGGATGAAGACGCTGGGTTGCCAGTATGTCCTCACATCTTATTATTGGTACGGTTTACCAGAGCAGTTGTTGAGTTATGGCAACTTCATTTGAGCTCCTTAAGAGCTACCCAGGACAGGCTTTGACGAGGTGCTGCTGAAGGCTCCGAAATCACAAGCAAAACCTTTCTTCACGCATCGACATGTAGCGTCCAATTATCGGGGTTAGCATGTTGTGGTATGTATCCTAGCTGCTGATGTGTAATTCTCGACAGGAGCGTGCGCACCAGGGTGTCTTCCCATGGCCCCCGTGTGGTACATCACCCACCCTGTGCCGGACAAGCGACACCCTAAGCCACTAAACCCGACACAAACCTTAAGCCCCTAAACCCTAAACCCTAGGGTTTCGAACCAGGAGATGACTTAACCTTAAACCCTAAACCCTAAACCCGAAACCCTAAACCCGAAACCTAAACCCGAATGAACCCTGAACCCTAAGCCCTAAATCCTGAACCCTAAACCCTAAACCTCCCAACCCTAAACCTCACCACCTGGGAAGGCCCTCAGCACGGAGCCCAAGGATCGGCCCAAGCCCAGCGCGATCCTGGAAGCGCAGTGGTTCGCAGCAGATGCACCGCAGGCACAGGGGTTTGTATGTACCATGCACATGCACACATAGATATCACATGATATGTATGTATATAGTTATATACACATACATATACATATACACACATATGTACACATATAGGTATGTATACATATATGTATATGTATCTGTATCTGTATATGTATATGTATATGTATATGTATATGTATCGGTATCTGTATATGTATATGTATATGTAAAAGCATATGTATGTCTTTATCTGTATGTATATGTATACGTATGCGTCTACGTATACGCATACGAAGATGTATATGTATATGTGTATGTACATGTATATGTACATGTATAAGTACATGTATATGTAGAGGTATAATGTATATGCAGATAACTCTACAGTGATGATTGTACATTTATATATGTATTTGTACCTATGTTTACATTTATATATACATATATATATATACATAATGTGTTTATATGTATATATGTCTATATGTATATATGTATATATGTATATATGTATATATGTATATATGTATATACGTATATATGTATATATGTACATATGTATATATGTATATATGTATATATGTATATATGTATATATGTATATATGTATATATGTATATATGTATATATGTGTATATGTATATATGTAATATGTAAATATGTATATATGTATATATGTATATATGTATATATGTATATATGTATATATGTATATATGTATATATGTATATATGTATATATGTATATATGTATATATGTATATATGTATATATGTATATATGTATATATGTATATGTTTGTATGTGTATATATGTATATCTGTATATATGTATATATGTATATACGTATATATGTATATATGCATTTACGTATATATGCATATATGTATATATGTATATATGTGTATATGTTGCCAGTGCCTGCGATTGTTTTCGCTCTTTCCGACTTTCTGTTGTCGGGACGCCGAAAACATCGAAGAGATTGCGGTGTTTTCTGCGGGGGCATGTCTGTGGGGACATGCCGAAGGCCTTAGCATTTGCATTGTCTTCTTCTGTCCTAGGTAGGATTGGGGGGACCCTTAAAAGGGCACCCTTCTGAACTCTCTTCTGGCTCTTTTAGACAGGGACCTTATTCAGAGTGTCTACATCCCCAAAGGTCCCCTAGTCCTGCCTGCCCCCTATTCTGGGACCTGCTCACAGCATGGGTATTTGCAAGGCCTCCCCTCTGCCACGTGCAAGGGATGAGCTCTAGATGTCTCTTTGACCTTAATTTCATTCACAGCAGTCCTGCTGAGTTCTTCGCCTGGATCCACTTGATTTTTTTTGAGGGTGGGGTGGGGTGGGGGGAATTCATGCATCAGACTCCACACTGGACTTCACACAGTGCAACGCGATGCTTCCTTGTCATGTTTGTTTTGGCTTTTGGGTTTCATGGCCCGCGTCACTTGTTGATGACGTTATTTGTCCTATTTCCTTGCATTCCTCGTTTCCTTCCTTCCACTTGCATGCTTCTTTCTTCATTTTCTTTCCACATCCTTGCCAGATGAAGCTGACAAAGTCAAACCTTCTAAACCCTAAGCCTAATGCCAAAGAACATCTACACTTGCGATGTTCCCCCTTATGCTAGCAGTCCTTAATTGGGAGTATAATCGGGGGCACTATAATTCCCATGAAGGACTGCGAGTATATTGGGGAACCATGAAGGACTGCTAGTACATTGGGGAACATCCCAAATCCATTTAGAAGCCATTCAGGGGCACGGACTTGGCATGTCTCATCCTACGGCCTTATGGCGCGTGAAGCAATCCTTCGTCCTCCCCAGCTCCAAACAGCAGTGAAATCATGTCACCATGTAAACAATCAGCTCGAGAGGCTCGCACTAAATGAGAGCGGGCACTGGCAGAGCAGAAGCACAAAGCGTTCCTGCAAAACATGCAGCGTGCGGAAAGGGAGGGAGGGAGAGAGAGAGAGAAGGCTCTAGGTGCCAACATGCAAAGGTATCAACTCCACATGTGGGTAGTTGGGCCACGGGTCCTGGGTTGCCGCAGTGCTTTCTGCATTGTTCCGGTGTTTCCTGCACTTTTCCTGTTGTTCGGATGTGTTTTTTTTGCTTGGGGGGGGGGGGGGGGCGAGGGGGGGTTCTTATTCATACTGCGTCCATGCAAAAAACACTGGTATTTGCAGCGTTTTCGCTTTTTTGTACAACGCACTGCACAAGGATCGATGTGGAACAAGACACGTTGTCACAAGCGTCCCTGCTTTTCGCGACGATGACAAAAACACAGGTATTTATCGCGATGTTCCCTCTTTGTACAACATACTGCACAAGGATGTGAAACAAGCAAAGCTGTCACAAGCGTCCATGCCTTTGGCGTCCATGGACAAAACACTAGTATTTCCAGCGTTTTCGGCTCATTGTACAACATACGGCGCAAGGATGCAGGGCAGGACACGTTCTCACAAGCATCCATGCCAATTGCGACGATGCCCAAAACACTGGTATTTACCGCGCTTGTACAACACACAGGCGCAAGGACCTGGAACAAGAAAAGCTGTCACAAAGCATCCATGCCTTTGGCGACCAGGCTGATGCGTTTTTGCCTTAGGCTCCAGGTTAACACAGTGTATTTCAGAAGCCGAAGCACAATGTATATATGTATATATGTATATATGTATATATGCATATATGCATATATGCATATATGCATATATGTATATATGTATATATGTATATATGTATACATGTATATATGTATATATGTATATATGTATATATGTATATATGTATATATGTATATATGTATATATGTATATGTATATATGTATATATGTATATATGTATATATGTATATATGTATATATGTATATATGTATATATGTATATATGTATATATGTATATATGTATATATGTATATATGTATATATGTATATATGTATATATGTATATCTGTATATCTGTATATCTGTATATCTGTATATATGTAGAAATGTATATATGTATATATGTATATATGTATATATGTATATATATATATATATATATGTATATATGTATATATGTATATATGTATATATGTATATATGTATATATATGTATATATGTATATATGTATATATGTATATATGAATATATGTATATATGTATATATGTATATATGTATATATGCAAATATTGTAGAGTATGATTATGGTCATGCTTGGTGGATTGTAAGAGACTGGTGCTGGCGTTTGTTTTGCTACTGAACAACACTATGATGGCTGCTGCGAAGACTTGCTTGGCTTGTTCACGCCATGCGTTTGGTTGTTTAGGCGTCTTCCGGGTTCCGGAAATAGAATGCCCAGGTCTCGGGCACGGAGGTGGAGTTCACCTGCCCAGACTATCCGCTTGCCCCGGCACGGATGCAGTACATGGCTGGCATTATTGCTGGGGTCTTGGCCCTTGTCAGCTGCTGCGTTTGCTGCCTTGGAACTTGTGTCACGTGCTGCGGCCACCAAATTCCTGCCTGGAAGTGGGCCACCGTTTGGGGAGGCTTCATGACCATGGTATCTCCCTTTTTCGCGCGCTTTCTGATCGAGAATGTCTTTTTCTGGACGTGGTTGCTTCTCATGGTTCCCCTCGGCCTAGCGATGATGAGCCTAAATTGGCTTGCAGGTGACGAGGATGAGAAGTCCAAAAGGAAGAGGCTCACTATCATCACGCTGGCCACTGCGGCTGGAATTGGTTGCAGCATGACCATGGAGGATCCCATGAAACTAGCGGCCAAGATTCCTATGGTTTTGACTTTCGGCCCGGTACAGGTTGGTGCGATGATTTGGATGTGGGCCTTGTTCGCAAATAGTCTGAGGTGCTGTGTCTGGGCTGGTGCCTTCGGGCTTGTTTCGGCTGTAAGTGTTATGACAGGAAAGGCTCGTGCCCAAACTGACTCCACAGGGTCTACGGTGGAGCTGGGGTATGTATGAAGGCAGCTGAAGCAGACGCTTGATTTGCTAGGCGCCTTGTTAAGCCGGCCTGCCCCCAAACGGGCTGGTACCAGCAAAGCTGGATGGCACCTGCATGGAATATGGCCACCATTGCAAATGTGCAACAGACAGGAGCTGTGTGAATTGCAGCCAGATTATGTTGTCGTCCGGAAGTCGTGAGCCCGGGGCCGGCGAGCATTACTAGGCTGATGGTTTCCGACCAATGGAGGTCCCTTGTGGGTCCTTTGAAGGGTATCGTCCTTGGCATAGTTCGGCAGCTCCCAATTGAGTCATCATGTGCGGCATGCACTGTAGTTTGGGATGTTCTGGGATGTTCCCCCTTATACTAACAGTCCTTAATAGGGACTATGGCCTCCCCCCCCTATTATAATCCTTATGAAGGACTGTTTGAACAAGGGGGGAACATTCCCAACTGTAGTCTTGGTTCGTTTAGGTTGAGCGTTCTCGGGGGTATCTATGCCGGTACCTCTCTTGCTCCTCTTGCGCATGTCCGTCTTCCTATTCCCGTTCTTGGTTTTACACAGCCTGAAGATCACCTTAAGCCCAGTACCTAAGCCACAGAACCTGAATCGTCTCGCTTGATCAGGAAAACCTACACCTTTGTACCCAACCCTAAACCCTAAACCCTAAACCCTAAGCCCTAAGCCCTAAGCCCTAAACCCTAAGTCCTAAACCCCTAAACCCTGACCTCTAAACCCGAAACCCGAAGCCCTAAACCTAGGCGGAAATCATGTAACTGATGACCATCTCATAGTCCAGAACATCATGAGACAGGTGACAGATTAGGCTCTAGAGTTTAGAGCTTAGGGCGCCTCACATGGGTATTTCCCAAATTGGGGGTACTCCCTTCATACCCCAAATAGAATAGAATCCCCTTAACAGGGACCCCCCAAAACCCCCTATTTGCGGAGAACCCCCACGATGCTGTAAACCCACCTTAATTTGAATGCTACATGACCCGATTCGGCCCGGTCCTGCCCTGCCCGGACGCTACAGTGTTAGGCCACGCGGCTGTCCCTGTTTGGGGACCCTGTTGTAACACGCGCATCATTTATAGACCAGGCTTGAAGTGGTTTGGGATGTTCTAACAGTCCTGGATAGGGATTAGAGCACCCCCGATTGTCTGTTAGTATAAGGGGGAAAATCCCAAGCAGTAGTAGTACCAGCTTTCGCCATGTCGCCGGCCCAGTCTTTGCAAGAGCAGCTCAATGCCGAACGCGCTGAGGAACATGCCATGTACGAGAGCCAGATGAAGCTTTTGCGGCAGTTTGATCAAAGCACAAAGGTTCCCCATTTGCTTATTGAGCTCCGTAGCCTTGGTTACGTTGAGATCTGTGGCAAGAACATTGGCGGTATCTATGAGAAGCTCGACCACTTCTTCAAGACAGAGTTTGGCGCCTCTGACACGGAGTTGGTGATGCGGAAAGTGCCACCCGAAGGGTGCTGTTCGCCAGAGGGGCCTGCCTGCGTAATGTTGCCGAAGGAGCCTTGCGACGATGTTTGCGACAAGAACTATGTGTGTGGCCAACAGAGACCTGACGGCTCGGTGCATGGCAGCAGTATCTTCAAGAGGAGAGGAACGTGGGGCGAGAATAACATGGGCTTGCTTACGATGAAGGTCATCGGCTTCATGACAAACGAGTGCGGCTGGGGATTGCATTTGACAGACGGAGGAAACATGGGCGGAAGGAACCAGATCCGCGAAACACAGATTAAGTTCAGGGCGCCCCACCCGCTCAATCTCATGGCGCCGCATCTTATGATTGAGCTGCGTGCCGTTGGATACATTGAAGTGAACGGTCAAGACAGTGGGGGCATCCACAGGAAGTTAAAGGACTTCGTGCGCAGCAAGTGGGACGCACACGTGGACTCCGACCGGGATCCTGACTACTGCGCCCTCAAGTTTAGCACTTTTGCATTCAAGCAGAGACTAGATAGGCATCTGGGATACTGTATACTCTTCCCTTATTGGGGTTTGAAAAGAGGATCATCTTTAGGGGCATCATTTTTCAGAGGGTTGTGTTCTGGGCCATGCTAGGAGAGGTGGGCAAGGAGAGAACAACATGGGGAAGCGCACCATGGAGCTGGTGGACTTCATGACGCACCTTGGGGGGCTACCCAGTGGTTCCCCTCTACTTCTTTTTTCTCTTTTGGGTTACTGGTTCCCTTATAAAAATAGCCTAAACCCAAAAAAGGGTTTAGGGTCTAAGGTTTTAGGGTTTAGGGCCACCAAGGCGGGAGTGCCACTGGACGCTGCTTGCCTGCACCGGAGGCAACGCCGGCGTGGATGGGAGGCACCGGGAGCAGCAGCTGGTCTTCCGCCACGACGAGCACGTGCAGCGAGGTCTGGGGGCTTGCGAAACTCGGGGGTGCCCTTTTGGGGGACTCTCTTTTAAGGGGATTCTATAGTGTATGTGGGGTATGAAAGAAGGATACCCCTTATTTTCGGGGACATGCCCCCAGGTGAGCCGCACTTGATGGTGGAGCTGAGAGATCAAGGGTATGTTGAGATCAACGGTACTCAAGCTGCTCCTGAAGCTGCAGCTTTGCTTCATGACTTCTTCAAAAGCCAGGGTTGCGAAGAGTACAAAAGTGGGTTCTGGGAGGGCGAGGCTTTCTGCGATGTCAAGTACAGGACGCCGAGGGACTGGTTCTACAGAGATGGCACGACAAACAACTTGGGCAGGAGGACACTGGAAGTCGCTAGCTTCTTGGGACAGCGCGGCTGGATGCTGCAGCTTTGCAACGGTGGCCACACGGCAGCCGCCAACTCTCCATGGAACCTCAAGCGCGAGCAGCAGATCAAGTTCCGCCGCGCGCAGCCAGGCGACGATGCCTCTGCCCCGCTCCTCATGATCGAGCTGCGGGCGGTACCTGAGAACGCGGAAGGTCACTTTCAGGGCTGGATTGAGATGAATGGCCCCAATACCCATGGTGTCTATGAGAAGGTCGTGAGGTACATGGAGCAAACGATGCTGTGCCAGCCTGTGGGCCCCCAGCCCTATTGCGACCTGCTATTGAAGTGCGGCTGCTTTCGCATGCGTGAGGCCAACACCAGCTGGTGGCACCAGAAAAGGGAGGGTCGCCTCATTGGAGAGAGTAACTTCGGCAGGTACACGATGCGCCTCTGCGACTACATGGTGGACCACCTTGGGGAATGGGACCTTCTGGTCTGCAATGGCAACAGCGTGACCAGCTTGTGTCAAAGTGGACTCCACAACAGCGACATGAGAGTGAACGGCAGAGAGCAGCAGCTTGTTTTCCGACATCGCCCAGGTGGACGTAAAGTTTTCATGGCTGCAGATGTCGCTGCAGCTGCCCTCGGGCGTGCCCCGTGCCTCCCACCGCACTACTGGAAGGACAGCACCAAAGACGGTGCAGAGGCGCAGCAGATCATTGCAGTGTCAGATGACGAAAAACGTTGGATCCAGCAGGTCTTGGACGGCACCTACAAGAAGAAGGTGACACGCGATCGCTCAGGGAGTGCCATGGCAGATCGCTTTGTTGTTGTGTCGGCTCTGCGGTCGGAACACCCAGGTCTTTGGGACCAGTATGCTCAGAAAAGGAATGAGGTTGCCAGAAGCATGAAGGGCAGAGGGACAGTGGCAGTTGTAGATCCCAAAACGATGCAAGCCTGCAGTGCGCTGAAAGAAAGGTGTCAGCACCCACGTCTGGGCAATCCCGGCAATGAGGCCTACCTTTTGCATGGTTCTAACCCTACATCGGCTATTTCGATCCTCGCCAACTCGTTCAAGGTGGACTTTGCCGGCGCAGCTGTTGGGACAATGTTCGGTCCTGGCATTTATCTTGCCGAATCTTCCTCAAAGTCAGATGAGTATGCCCGCGACGAAAACACTGGGGGAGCCTACGATGGGCTGTTCGCTGTGTTGCTTTGCCGAGTAGTCCTGGGAAGCTCTTATGTGGTCGAAGATCCAGGGAACTACGCAGACAAGTGCTCTTCGGGGGAGTTTGACAGTGTTGTGGGAGATCGGGAAAAGGCTGTCGGAACTTTCCGTGAGTTCGTGGTCTTCGACGCAGCTGCAGTCTATCCCGAGTACGTGGCCTTCTACAGGAGGGAGCATGGTGACCCGGCAACTTCGGCGGGAGAGGCTCCGCCACCCTCGTGCTTTGCCCCGCCGCAGCATTCCATGGCTGCCACAGTGGAAGAAAGTGACGAACCAGGGATGCAACATTCGTATAGGCACCCCAAAGGGGTGGTCCGTGGTCCACTGGGCTTCACTCGGTGGACAGGAATTGCGGTGTCAGATGCTTGCTGAGAAGCAGCTCAAGAGAAGCCCTCATGTGGTTCAGCACTAAACCCTAAACCCTAAACCCTAAACCCCATACCCTAAACCCTAAACCCTAAATCCTAAACCCTAAACCCTAAACCCTAAGCCCTAAGCCCTAAACCCTAAACCCTAAACCCTTGCCATGCTCTAGACTCTGATCAACAGGCAAACCCTAAACCGACCTCCCTGCCAGGCAGGCTTAGGATTTAGGGTTTACAGGGATCCTAGGTAGGTTTAGGGGGTTTAGGGTTTAGGGTTTAGGGTTTAGGGTTTAGGGTTTAGGGTTTGGGGTTTATAGGCATTCTAGGTAGGGCCTTCGGACAGTTTGTGTTTTCCCTTCTTGGGTTTAAGGGGATCATGTTCAGGTTTAGGGTTTAGGGTTTAGGGTTTAGGGTTTAGGGTTTAGGGTTTAGGGTTTAGGGTTTAGGGTTTCGGGTTTTCTCAGGGGTTCAAGGGCCATCCCAGACTGTTTCAATACTCAGGCGCAGGGTGGTTCAGAAGACCGTTGGCACATCTACCCACTGAACTTGAAGTGTTTGGCCTCTGAAGCCTCCTAAACCCTAAACCCTAAACCCTAAACCCTAAACCCTAAACCCTAAACCCTAAACCCTAAACCCTAAACCCTAAACCCTAAACCCTAAACCCTCAACCCTAAACCCTAAACCCTAAACCCTAAACCCTAAACCCTAAACCCTAAACCCTCAACCCTAAACCCTAAACCCTAAGCCCTAAGCCTTTTTTTTTGCTCTGCCATTCGGCTCAAGCAGACGGTCGCGCTGGCGTGCCCCAGAGGACGGCCCTTGCCTGCAGTGTGTCCCAGACCCTTAGCTTTTAGGGTTTAGGGTTTAGGGTGTAGCAAGAAGTCCGGAACCCAAACCCTCAACTCCGAACCCTCAGTCCCAAACCCGGACCCCTAAATTCCAAGCTCTCGACAATAAACCCCAAACTATAAACTCTAGACCCTAAACATCCTGAACCATAACAACCCTAAACTGTCAACCTTCGAAGTTTAAGGGCCGAGCCTCGAAGCCATTTTGCACAAGCGGCTGCCCGACACGGCGTTTTGTGCATTCTGAAAGCCCCTTTGAACGCACGGAGCCCCACTACCCCTTAATTAAGGAATATACCTTCATGTATAAAGGGATCCTTAGTGTCATTTAAGGTATACCCCTTAAAACCCTAAACCCTAAACCCTAAACCCCAAAAGAAGCGAGTTTAGTAGCTTGACTCGCCCGAAGCATTAAACTTGACGTAGTAGCCTAAACCTTAAACAGCTTCTTGGCCCTGGGCCTAGCAGCCCTAAGTCCTACACCCTAAGCACCCGAAACCCAGAATCGTTTAAGCTCAACAGCCTGTCAATGGCCCCAGCCCCAAGCTCAACAAAGCCACCCCAAGCCCGAAACCCCAAACCCAAGAAATGATCGGAGGCGCCCAAGCAGGACAGACGCCTAAACCCTAAACCCTAAACCCCAAACCCCAAACCCCAAACCCGAAGCAGGACAGACGCCACGGTGGGCTCCTCCCTGGCAGCCGAGGCTTTTGCCCCCGCCGTCTCGGGAATTGGGGTTGGGGCTCGGCGTGGCAGTCTTTTCGTGCCGCTCTTGGTGCCACAAAGGGTTGTTTTAGGGTTTTAGAGTTTAGGGTTTAGGGTGTTAGGGTTTAGGGCTTCGGGTTTAGCGTTGACTTCTTAAAGATGCTCCAAAGAGGCCCAGAAGAGACTAAGTCTCAAAAACCCTGACAAGGGCCCCAGTGGGGTGAGTTAGGGTTTTCTTTCGTTTATCTCTAAACCTTGTGCCACCCTGACCCTAAACCCTCAACCCTAAACCCTAAACCTTAAACCCTAAAGCCCTAAACCCTAAACCCGAAACCCTAAACCCCAAACCCTAAACCCTAAACCTAAACCCTAAACCCTAAACCCAACCCTAAGCCCTAACCCTGAACACAGAACCCTGAATCCTAAACCCTAAACCCTAAACCCCAAGCCGTGTGCCCATGCTGGGCAGCCTGGCTCCAGATCCATGCTTTACAAGCTGAGGGCGGGTTCATTAGACTGCTTGGCCAGACCAGCGGCCTGCTCCACTGGACCCTAAACCCTAAACCCTAAACCCTAAACCCTAAACCCTCAACCCTAATCCCTAAACCCTAAACCCTAAGTGCTAAACCCTAAACCCTAAGCCCTAAGCCAGTGTAACAGTGGGTTAAGAAGTTAAGAACAGGTGAGTTTAGGGCTTAGGGCTGCAAATTTCCAGGTGCAGCTGTAAGCTGCCGGGGCCCACCCGCAAAGCATTCGGTCAAAAGGGTTCTGGGTCTAGGGAACACACCGCTCATAGGAGAGGGTAAAAGGAAGGTGCTAAGGTGACTGAAAGCAAAGTTGAAGCAGGGTAGACTTGATCATGAGCCCCTGGCTTTCGTCGATGGGTGTCCGCCTGCTGCCTGCACTGCTGATTGCTGCAGCTGCCGTGGATCACTCCAAGTTCCGCACATGTTCGCAGGGCTCTTTCTGCCGACGCTACCGGGCCTATGTCAAGGAGGTTCAGAGTTCTGGCGCGCAGCTCCACTTCGTGGATGCCGCCTCCCTCACGCAGGACAGCGCGCACGAGGTCCGGCTTCAGATCTCGAGCCGCCACGGCGCGGGGGTGGTGGAGCCCCTTGAGCTCAAGCTGGGCTTCTTCCGCGTCCCGGAGGCCTGCGGTGTGCTCCGGATCTCCATCCTGGCGCCGGGGGAGAGGCGCTTCCGGCCGCGCGAGGGCGACGTGGCCCTGGTGCCGGAGGGCGGCCTGCAACCCGACCCTGTGGCGGTGCGATCAGAGGAGGCGGCGGCCATCATCACCGCCGGGGAGTGCTCGGCAAGGGTGCAGTATGACCCCTTGGAGTTGGATCTGATGCGTTCGGGTCGGCTGCTGCAGACCCTCAATGCGCGACACCTCTTGAATTTCGAGCAGCTGCGAAGCAAAGGGACGGGCGCGCGCCCCTTGATCGATGCCACGGACGTTGATAGCACCTCGCTGTGGGAGGAGGAGTTCGATGTGTGTGGGCTGCACTTGAAGACGTGCTCAAGTCTTTCATCGGTTGATTGGGGCTTTACACCCTAAACCCTACACCCTAAGCCCTAAGCCCTAAGCCCTAAACCCTAAATTCCCTAACCCCAGGCACCCCAAACCCTCATTCAGTTTGCCACAGGGCAAGGCCCGATGCCTTGCATTCCAGTTTCAGTCCATCCTTCCGGAGTCTCCACGAACAGAAGCGGAAGCTTCAAACCTACCCTAAACAACCTAAAGCCCTGAACCCTGAACAACCTAAAAGCCCTGAACCCTGAACAACCTAAAGCCCCTTAAACCCCAAACCCCAAACCCTAAACCTAAAACCCCCTCAAGCCGCTTGCAGCCCCCAAGCGCCCAAGGGACACGTGGACTCGAAGCCTCGTGGCCCCATGGGCGTGGGGATCGACATCAGCTTCCACAAGGCCCGGAGAGACCCTAAACCCTAACCCCTAACCCCTAAACCTTAAACCCAACCCCAAACCCCAAACCCGAAACCCTAAACCCACTTCCCTCCCTCCCGAGTGTTTCCGGAGGCCTCCTTTGCTGTTGGCCTGGCAGAGCACGCCACGCGCCTGCACCTTGCGGAGCCCCGCTTCCAGGAGCCTTTGCATATCCATTTGGGGGTTTAGGGTTTAGGGTTCAGGGGTTTAGGGGTTTAGGGGTTTAGGGTTTAGGGTTTAGGGTTAGGGCTCATGGGCCTTACTGATCTATTTGAGAGCCCAGTACCCTTTATGAAAGGAGTCCGGGGCGTAAGGCTTTAGGGGTTCGGGTTTAGGATTTGCGAGAATAAGGGGCCCGAATATAGACCCCCCAGATAGTCGGACTCCCTTTCAATAAGGACCCCAGTAGGGTACCCTAATGTCGGAAACCCCAATTTTGCTCAAATCATTTATTCATTCGCTTGCTTGTTTATGTTTCATTCACTTTAATCCTTGTTTGGAATATATTTGATTGTTTATGTTTTTTCTTCTTGCTCATTTGTTTTTTCTTCTTTATCTAAGCATTATATATGTAGACATACATATCTATTTCTTTGTATTTGTTTGGTTAACTTTTTATGTGGAATTGAAGTGACGACGGCTTTGGGTGTTTAGGGCTTTGGGGGGGGGGGGTGTTTAGGGTTCAGGGTTTAATCCATGGTTTAGGGCTTAGTTTAGGGTTTAGCGTTTAGGTTTTGGGGTTTAGGGTTTAGGGTTTAGGGGTTAGGGGTTCGGTTTTAGGGTTTAGGGTTTAGGGTTTGGTGTTTATGGTTTAGGGTTTAGGGTTTAGGGTTTGGTTGTTGTTTGTTTCTTGTTCTTCTTGGTGTGTGTGGGTTTACGGCTTCAGGGGCTTGAAGGTGTTGGCTAAGGAGGGCCTTCGGGGTTTTAGGCTTTTGGTTTTCGAGGTTCTTGGATTTTTTGCGGTGGCGAAGTATCCCTTGACCTGGAGTGCCGGACCATCCCACGGGGCATCGACAGGCTTCGTTTCTTAGTAGTAGAGTAGCCGAGTAGGTAACCCTTGAACCTTTTTGGGGTAGTATCATTCCCTTATTGCCCCAAAGGTTAACTTTTAGTTCCCCTAAACCCTAAACCCTAAACCCTAAACCCCAAACCCTAAACCCTAAACCCTAAACCCTAAACCCTAAATCGGAACTCTCGGTCTGTGGCTCGTGGGAAGCCTGAGCCGACACCCCAATTGGCAGGAGCCCTATCGCCTGTTCAACCTCGATGTCTTCGAGTACGAGGCCTGCAGGGGCGGTGCTGTCGTATCACCGATGCCTTCCGCAGGTCTGTAAGCCCCTAACCCTAAACCCTAAACCGTAAGCCTTAAACCCTAAACCCTAAACCCTAATCCTAGCCCCCCCCCCCGCCCAAAACACCCCCAGGTCGATGTGCCCATGGCGCTCTACGGCAACATCCCCATGATCACGGCCCTGCACCAGGGGCCCGAGCCAGGCTGAGGGAATAGGGTTGAGGGGTTAGGGTTGGGTTTAGGGTTTAGGGTTTAGGGCCCAATAAGATGATGAGAAGCACTAGTCAGAAGGCATTCTGAGAACATGCTAGCTGTATTTACCTGTAGGCACGTGGGATTAGTGCGTCGCACGTCAAGATGCAAAGGGAAGGAACACAGAAACACGAGAAGCGTAAGCTAGTAATGCATGCTACTAGTTTTTGTGTTCGTTCTCTCACAAACTTCGCCACAAACTTCATTCTTAGCTGCTGTCGTTTTCGGGGTTTAGGTGGTTCGGGTTAGGTCAGGTATATTATGCATGTATCTACGCATGTACGTGTACATAAGTATATCGATACACAGATATTCGCCGGGTGGATATAGACATATACAAATGTATATGCTACATGTATATGTATGTATGTATGTATGTATGTATGTATGTATGTATGTATGTATGTATGTATGTATGTATGTATGTATGTATGTATGTATGTATGTATGTATGTAATGTATGTATGTATGTATGTATGTATGTATGTATGTATGTATGTATGTATGTATGTATGTATGTATGTATGTATGTATGTATGTATGTATGTATGTATGTATGTATGTATGTATGTATGTATGTATGTATGTATGTATGTATGTATGTATATATACATATATATGCTCTCTCTCCATATATATATATATATATATATGGTACCCCCCCCAGTGACCTACCCTTTTTCGCCTTGTCTCAAGTCACCCAGCTGCACTGCAAGCAAACTCGGTGTGCAATATAGCGTATTTCCTAGGGCGTAGACTAAAATACAACTAAAATCGCATGCACGGGACAGTAGAAAAACCAAAAACACCAAAACCAAAAAAACCAAAAAAAACCAAAAAAACCAAAAAAACCAAAAAAACCAAAAAAACCAAAAAAACCAAAAAAACCAAAAAAACCAAAACCAAAAAAACCACAAAAACCAAAACCAAAAAAAACAAAAAAAAAACAATTTTCCGGAACTCTCAGGAATCCCTATGAGGCTTCTCCAAGAGTCCCGGAAAATTGTTTTTTTTGGTATTTTTGGTTTTTTTTGGCTTTTTTGGTTTTGGTATTTTTGGTATTTTTGGTTTTTTGGTTTTGGTATTTTGGATTGTTGGTTCGCCTTCACGGTCACGAGGCAACAACTACGCATTTTTAAGTGTGCTTATGCTAATTGTGCTTTTCAGAAATAGTATTCAAGTGGTCTTTCTAGTGCTTCAGATCTATTTGTTTCGTTATTATGTAAGTAGAGCCACTAGTGTTTAGTGCACCTTTTGGGTGTACTAAAGTGTAGTAGACCTTATTCAGCCATTACTTGGTGCTCTGGTAGCTAAATTCGCATGGATAATATTTGCCTGGTAAAAGCGATTAATTATCTAGAAGCAGCATGTGCAATACTTGTCTTGAGAAAAAGCATTTATTGCTTAGAACTGTTTGCTTAAAAAGTGACTACTACTCGTCCAGGGATACCCCAAAACCCTATCATCCAAACTTCGCCAGAGATTCTCCTGAAAAGCTTGCGCTTTTGGATGTTTTTATGTATTTGTGAATTTGCTTGTGTATGGCCTTCACTATGTACTTTTCTAGGATTCTTGTGCATTTTTTAAGCCTGATTGTGCAAGTTGCGTTTTTCAAGCATAGTATATATGTGGTCTTTATTGATACTTCAGACATTTTTGTTTCATCGTTATGTAAGTAGAACCGCTTCTATTTCCATTATTGTGCATGATTTAAGCTTGCTTATGCAAATTGTGCTTTTCAGACGTAGAATATAAGTGGTCTTTGTTGAATACTTCAGCAATCTTTGTTTGATTGTTATGTAGGTAGAACCGCATCCATTTCCGTTAGTGTTTATTTCGTATTTGGTTGAGTATGGTCCTTTAAATAGTATTCACTTGAGTCAAACTGGGCTCTTTGCTTAAGAATTCCTCTAGTAGTTAAATTCGCATAGAATGAATACTTCAAAAATAAAAAATTGTTTCATGAATATGTAAACATAAGTTTGGTTTTGCAGATAGTATTTCAATAATACTTTGCCTGGTATAAGCACAACTGTTTCAATGCATAAGTTGCTCAATAGAGCACTATTTGCCCTTTATATAAACCACACTTTGCCACATTTTGGTTGAATATGGTGCTTCTTTTGTATTTTGGTTGAGTATGGTCCTTTAAATGGTATTCACTTGAGTCAACTGGGCTATTTGCTTAATAATTACTCTAGTAGCTAAATTCGCATAAAATGATTGTTTCAAAAATAAAACGATTCATGAATATGTCAACATAAGGCATTTCAGTGGACTTTTCAGAGAGCATACTTTGCCTAGTGCAAACATAATTGTATAAATACAGTAGTTGCTCAACAAAGCATTATTTGCACTTTAAACGCACACTTTGCCATATTTTGGTTGAGAAGGGTGTCTATTTCGTATCTTGGTTGAGAATGCTCCTTTAAATAGTATTCACTTGAGTCAAATTGGGCTCTTTGCTTAATAATTACTCTAGTAGTTAAATTCGCATAGAATCAAGAAAAATGTTTCACTATTTGATTAATACTTTGCCTCGTACAAACACAATTGTATAAATAGATTAGTTGCTCAACAAAACATGAATTGCAGTTTAAACGCACAATTTGCATAGAAAAAGCACAGATCTAAACATCTAAAAGCAGCATTGTCCGCTTCAGATTCAAAATGTAGATTATTCCAACGCTGGCTTATCGGGGTCTGTGAGGTGGGTGTTCCAGTAACTGTCCTTCATTACCCGGTGATTAACTACGCGACTTTTGGGCCTTCTTTGTTGTTTTTTGTTAAAAAGGCCTACAAAGGGTAGGTCGCTGGGGGGGGGGGGGTAGCATATATATATATATATATATACATCTGTGCTTGTATTTCAAGAGATAGATTATATATACATATATATGTGCGTATGTGTTTTTTAGGCTGTTACAGGGGGTTGGCACCTCCAGGCGGCTCCGCTGCATCCGGCATACTGCTTGTGAACCCGTCGGAAGGCTTCGTCAAGGCCGATTTCTCAGGTTTTCAGGGCTGAGGTGTAGGGTTCCCAAGGAGAGCCATAACCTATTGCTTTTGGATTCCAGTCTCGAGCTGGGACAACTCGGGGTTGTTCTCTATTGTTCCCCACCTTCGGTGTGGGGTTGTTAGATTTTAAACTCAACTCTTCTCCTCGCCCGGAACTCTTCTCCTCGCCCGGTCCACTCCTAGAGCCTCCCTGGAGTGCCCAACCCCAGAGACTCCTGGAGCGCCCAACCCCAGAGACTCCTGGAATGCCCAATCTCAGAGACTCCTGGAGTGCCCAACCCAGAGATTCCTGGAGTGCCCAACCCAAGAGTCTCCCTGGAGTGCCCAACCCCAATTGCAAGCAAAAACTAAGAAAGCGTCATATTTGAATCAATGTGTCTTTGTTTGAACATCCTATTTGCGCTCTTGCCTTTTAACGAGGAGCAAGGTGGGGAGTTTCGAAGTCACATGATTTTTGTTTTTACTTGCCTTTGATCCATGCCGGCGTAGAGCCCAAACTGTGTAAACCACGACGGCACGTCGTGTCACGAACGGAGCTGGGCACGATGCCGGCCCCAAAGCAACGGCGGCTCTGCACTTCGCAAGGAGCATGCGCAGGGGGGGGCCAGGAGCAGAAATATCCATCACAGCATGCACATGGCACGAAAGGCCGGAGTTGGGGCAGGATCTCGCCATTCGGGTCAGCACGATATTTGCATTTAGGGTTTAGGGTTTAGGGTTTAGGGTTTAGGGTTTAGGGTTTAGGGTTTAGAGCAGTTTAGGGTTTAGGGTTTAGGGTAGCAGATCCTCGCACGAAGCGAAGCCCGTCCAAGCAAGAAAAGCAGGATTCAGGCGCAGCTTTGGTGAAGAACCGGAGTTTGAGAGGCCCTAAACCCTAAACCTTAAACCCTGAACCCTGAACCCTAAACCCTAAACCCTAAACCCTAAACCCTAAACCCTGAACCCTGAACCCTAAACCCTAAACCCTACCATGTTTTCGTGCGACGTGCAAGGACCGAGGCGGGGAGAGCTCCTAGCCAGAGCCAGCCACGTGAACCCCACCCTAAACAATAAACCCTAAACCCTAACCCTAAACCCTAAACCCTAAACCCTAAACCCTAAACCCTAAACCCTAAACCCTAAACCCTAAACCCTACACCCTAAACCCTCAACCCTCAACCCTCAACCCTAAACCCTAAGCCCTAAACCCTAAACCCTAACCCTAAACCCCAAGGTGGAGACGGCCAACAATGGCACCGACACCCAGACCTGGTGGGCCTTCGAGGCAGCTGGCTGTCGGGTTTAGGGTTTAGGGGTTAGGGTTTGGGGTTTAGGTTTTTCTACTCCAGGTCCTTCGAGTTTGGGGTTTGGGGGTTTAGGGGTTTTTGGGGTTTAGGAGTTTGGGGGTTTAGAGGTTTAGAAGGTTTAGGGGGTTTAGGGGTTCAGGGGTTGAGGGGTTAAGGGGTTCAGGGATTCGGGTTTTGGGTTTTCGGGGTGTAGGGTTTAGAGTGTAGAGACGAAGGTTTATGGTCTTGGGGTGTAGGGTTTAGGGTTTTGGGATTAAAGTTTGGGGTTCAGGGTTTTTTGGGGCGAGCCCTTCTCTAAACCTCATGTGCTCGAGACTCAAAACCCTAAACTCGGAACGGGTTGCGAGGTTTCAGAGTATTTCGTGTCTCCAGGCCGGCATCCTCGACTTCTTTGCTTTCCTGGGCCCGACGCCACTAGACGTGCTGCGTCAGTGCCTTTGACCGCCTTGAGCAAAGTTTGTGCACATGTCGGGTTTTGGGTAACTGGGGTTTTCGGTGTGCAAGGTTTGGCATTCATGTTTCTAAGTGTTAGGGTTGAAGGTGAGGGTTTCGGGTTTTGAATTTAGCATCTTGAGGTTTGGGGTTCAGGTTCTGAGTCTAGGGGCTTTGGGGGGACTTCGGTGTGTGAGGGTTAGGGTTTACGGTATCCTAGCACAAGCAGTGTAGTATGAATGTGACTAGGGGGGGGGCGTGGGAGGGATGGACCAGTCAATACCCCTGAATGAAGGAATTTACCTCAAATCATCTTCTGGATCCCTACATAACTTAAGGTGAATTCCTTATTAAGGGGTATTGAGCTCCATGGGTAATGTCGTCTGAAATAGCTCAATTTGCTCGTATCAAGCCTTAAACGTTCAACATCAGTCCTCAACCCTAAATCCCAATTCTGGAATCCGTACGGCACAGCATAAAAGAAGACTCATCAAAGCCGAAAGCCTAAAGCCTGATTACCCAGACCCCTGGGAGGATCCAAAAACTAGAACCCCCAAAGAGTACTGAGTGAAGCGAGTGCGTGAACTTAACTTACGAATGAACGACGCAAACAGGAACAAGAAAATAGGAATGTTGTGAGCCCATGAAAGTCTTTTGTTGGGGGGCTTCCTTGTTCTCTTCGTTCACAACATTAATAAATTCACGCACTCCCTACATTCGTTTGTAATTATAATACTGTTGTTCTCTCCGTTCATTCTTCCTTTTCGTTTGCAGCACTTCGTTCTCACTTCGCTCGCCAATTCTAATATTAATACACGCGTAAACTTGCCTTAATATTCTAGTTGTCTTCACTTCGTAGTAATATTATATGATGCCGCGAGCACAGTAAGATTCTATCGCGGGGCTATAACTTATAATACTTATAGCAATAATACTATTGTAAAGGGCCACATTCTTTTCCTCTTTTTCGTGGGCCAACAATACTCTTCGTTTGTTGCGTTCGTGCATTAATTCATTTGCATTCGCTCCGCTTCTTTACAAATGAATTCATACACTTCTCTCTATGGTCATTCTTAGGAACCCTAAACCCTAAACCTTAAACCCTTAAACCCTTAATACTTTTTTGGATCCTCCCAGGGGCCTGATTATGGATGTCCAGGTACCATGCCGTCACTGGCTGGCCTCGGATGCCGCCCCTGGCGGCCCTCGGCAAGCACCAGTCAAGGTGGGGGGGGGGGTTTAGGGTTTAGGGTTTAGGGTTTAAAGGGTTTAGGAGCCCCCCCCCCCCCCCCCCCCCGGCAGCTTTAGAATCTTTGGAACACCCTCAACCCTCAACCCTCAAGCTTCAACCCCCCAGCCTTAAACCCTCAACCCAAAGCCTCAAATAGCCCTAATTCTGTCCCACCAGGTGGAACTATATCACCGTGGAGGACGGCTGGGGCTCAGGCCTACAGTTTTTGTGCAACCCAAAAATCTGAACCCCAAACACTCGACCCTCGACCGTGAACCTAGAAACCGGAACCCTACAAACTCTCTCACCCCCCTATAAACCCCCTATACACCCTTCCGGAAGCACCCTGAACCCCCTGTAAGCACCCTTTAAACCCCCCTCTAACCCCCCAAGAGCTGTTGGACTGGAGGACGTGCTGGAGGTGGCCGGGAAGTTCGACGAGCACCGGATTCCGTTCGACTTCATCTGGCTGGACCTGGAGCACACGAACCAGAAGCGTTACTTTGGGGGGGGTTCAGTTGAAGTAATCCCTTCCCCCGTAATATTAGCCCCCCCTAACAGGTTGAGGGTGTAGGTTTGAGGGGTTTAGGACATAGGTTTGTTTAGAAGCTTCCGCACCCCACTAAGCCATCCCTTGAGGCTACTTCCCCCCTTAAGGCTACTTCACCTGGGATCCGCAGCACTTCCCCGCGGAGGGCGTGCGCAGAATGCTGGGGGAGCTGAACAGGACGCACCGGAAGCTAGTCACCATCATCGACCCTCACCTCTACGCGGCCGACCCGGACTATGCCGTGGCCGCGCGGATGAAGGCGCAGGGCCTGATGGTGAAGAGGCCGGGCAACGCGACGGTCCCTGCCCACGACTTCGAAGGGTTCTGCTGGCCTGGCCCCTCGAACTATCCGGACTTCTGCGATCCAAGAATGCGGCGCGAGTGGGCGGAGCTGTTCGACTTTTCCGCGTATCCCGGGTGGCCTGCCGAGATCTATACCTGGAACGACATGAACGAGCCCAGTGTCTTCGACGGGCCTGAGATCTCGCTTCCCAGGGACACCCTCCACCGCTGCCACGCCGAGGAGTTCGACATCGAGCACCGCGAAGTGCACAACCTCTACGGCTTCTACGTGCACGAGGCGAGCACACAGGGGCACCTGCGCCTTGCCCGCTTCGAGCCCAAAACCCCGAACCCCCAACCACTCACTGGGAAAAGGGCCAACCCCTTTTTCTGAAAGGGCCTTAGATCTTTTCGTGGCACATGGGGCCGGCTAAATGTGGGGTGTACAGTAAAAATTGGGCGCTCGGAGTTACGCTACTTAAGGAGTTCGTTAAAGCTACTCATGCAAGGGTTTAGGGCTCAGGAACCCTGAGCCCTAAACCCTCAACCCTAAGCCCTAAACTCATAACCCTGAACCCAAAAACCCAAACCCAAAACCCTAAACACTCCACCCTGAAAGCAGTTCGCCACCGCCAGCTCAGGCTGCGCGCGCCCGGCCAGCGCCCCTTCGTCCTTACCCGGCCTCTCGGCTGCTCCCCAGAATCGCAAACCCTAGGCCTCGAAAACCTAAACCCTAAACCCTAAACCCTCAGCCCTCAACCCTCAACCCTCAACCCTCAACCCTCAACCCTAAACCCTAAACCCTCAACCCCAAACCCTGCCCTAAACCCTAAACGCTAAACCCTAAGCCCTAAACCCCAAGCCCTGACCCCTGTATTGTTTAAGGTGTATTCTCGATTTGAACCCCAAGTTCGTTCGCTGTATTTCTCTTGGGACCCTAAACCCTAAACCCTAAACCCTAAACCCTAAACCCTAAACCCCAAACCCCAAACCCCAAACCCTAAACTTTCTAAATCCTTCAAAAGATCTGGGTTTCGCAAAGCAGCTTGGTCAACGTTCCCCAGCAGTGCTTGACGCGGCAAGCTTCTCGGGTTTAGGGTTTCAGGGCTCAGAGGTTTCAGGGCTCGGAGGTTTCAGTGCTCAGAGGTTTCAGGGCTCAGGGTTTAGGGTTTCAGAGTATGGGAGTATGGGGCTTTGGGCTTGGGATTCCAGCACCCCAAGCCCAAAGCCTCACTTGTGGTCGAAGGTTAAAATACTCCCTCAAGCATAAATGAACTCGAGTCTAAAGCCTCATAGGTCAACCAACATCCCGAGCCCTAATCCCTAAACCCTAAACCCTACACCCTAAACCCTAAACCCCCTTACACCTTGAAGCCCCTGAAACCGGAAAGCCTGAGCTTGAGAGCCGAGGTCCTTTTTTGCGGGCTCCCACCGTCACGGGCCGGCTTGGACAGGCGACCCTCAACCCTAAACCCCAACAGCCCTGAAGCCCAAAAACCCTAAAGCCCTTAAACCCTCAAACCCTAAAACCCTAAACCCTCAAATCTTGACCCTGAACCCTAACCCCTAAACCCCCAACCGAAACCCTTAACCCTAAGCCCTAAGCCCACCCGGTGTCATTTGTGTACTTCTCCAAGCTAGAGTTCCCTTGTTGGGTGTTCCTTCTAACCAACGGAGCCTTTCCGGGTTAGTGTTTTGCGGGGCTAGAGTTATCCGCCTAAACCCTAAACCCTAAACCCTAAACCCTAAACCCTAAACCCTAAACCCTAAACCCTAAACCCTAAACCCTAAACCCTAAACCCTAAACCGTTAAGGGTTTTAGGGTTTTCGGGTTTAGGGGGTTCGAGTTGGGTTGCACAGAGATGGACCAGAATCTCGAGCTCCCGGACCTTGTGGTGTTTGGGTTTTCTTCAGGGTTTCAGGTGGTTTCCCAAAAGACGGCTGCCCTTTTTGGGTGTTCAGGGTTTAGGGATTTGGGGTTTAGTGACAAGGGTTTGGGTTTGAAGGGTGTGCAGGGTGTGGCTTGAACAAGCATACCTGGGAGTTCTGGGCTTCCCTAAAACCCCTAAATGCCCCCCAAAGGCCCCAAGAACCCCCCTTCGAGTCGAAAACGCTGCAAGGTGACAACATGGCCAACTGGAAGCACCTGGAGAGGTGCCTGCGCCAAACGCCAAACCTTCCCCCTTCATAAGCCTTCCCAAGCCCCCTAAGACCCCCAAGCCCCTGTAAGCCCCCCTACTTACTAACCCCCTCTCCCCCAAACCACCCCTTGAGCCCCCCCAAAAACTTCTAAGACAAACCTTCAGCCCTAAACCCTAAACCCTCAGCCCTAGACCCTAAACCCTAAACCCGAAATCCTAAGCCCTAAACAATAATCTCCTGGAGAGGTCTGTGCCCATGCTGCTGTCCCTGGCTCTGTGCGGATACTCCATGGTGGGGATCCCAGATGCCATTGAGTGGAGTTTACGGGGTTTAGGGTGTTTGGTTATGGCGTAACAACTTGCATGGTCGTGTCTTGATTTGTAAAAGGCTTTCTTGTTCTTCAATTTCATGTGTGGTCAGTCTTGCTTCTTTTCAACGGGCGGTATATTCGTCTTTGCATTTGACTTTGGGGCACTGAATCAATACGCTAGTTCAATGGGGTTTAGGGGTTTGGGGTTTAGGGTTTAGGGTTTAGGGTTTGGGCACTCCACCTGTGGTGCGGGAGCAGCACCAATGCCAACGAGATGAAGCGAGTGCATAAGACTGCGTACTGGGGCCCCCATGACCTTAGGAGCACCGCCTCAAAGCTTCAAGGTTCCCTTGCTTGCGGTTTAGGGTTTAGGGTTTAGGGTTTAGGGTTTAGGGTTTAGGGTTTAGGGTTTAGGTTTTAGGGTTTAGGGTTTAGGGTTTAGGCCCAAGTTGGGTTTGATAGGTTTTACCTGCGTCGTACAGTCAATAGCAGTTTTGGCTCAAGTGAGCTCCGCTAGCTACTCGCAGAAGACAACATGCCGTTCAATGCGCTGCTTGCTTGGCTTGGGATTTGCATCATGGCTCTGTCAACAGCGTCATGTGCTTACACGGTATGTACGCTCCATCGCTCTGGTTGGAGAACCGAGTATCCATCAGAGTATATTGGATGGGTCGCGCTCTGCAGCATGGGGTCCATGGCGGTTCTTACCATTTATGTTGGGCGATGGCTCATGTGTTCATGCCCTTTAGACAAGGACCTCCTCTTTTGCCAGGCTGCACTTTGGTTCTTCACCTTCTTTAACGTGGCACTGCTGCTTTGGGGTGTGGTTTGGGGGCATGAGATATGCCGCCGGGCACGGAACTTGATGGAGCGCAGTAGGGCGAAGTTCCTTCACTATGTTGTATGGCCATGTGCAATCTTGTGGGCATGTCTTTGTGCACAAGATCATCGCACTGCTATGCGTGTCAACCAGAACGATGATGGCACCTGGCACCTGCACGTAAACCTTCACGCGTATGGCTTCCCGGTCATGATATTCGCCGCAGTCCTGAATGCCATCAATCTTTGCAGACTCGTTCGCAAAGTCGGCTTAGGCGAGGTGGACCGATGGTTGGTGTGGTATGGCCTCTCATTCTTCATTTGCTGGGGCTTGGTTGGATTGACAGCTGCTTCAGTAGAGGCATTTGACAACATGTGGAACACCGGCCTCATGTTCATAGCATACTCCTCGGAGGGACTTTGCATCTCTTGCAGTAGACTCTTGGAGCGACACTGCCGGGCTCAGATGTTGCAGGATCAGCGCATCCCGATGGCACTTCGCTCTGGAATTAGATGTACAGACCAGCAAGCGTGCGAACAGGAGAAAGTGTTGAAGGAAGCGCTCCTTTACTACTTTCAACTTGATGGTCAAGAGCACGACTCCTATGAGACGGTAGCAAAGGACGCCTTTCAGCACGTGCGTTCGTTGAGGGACGTCCAGCTTTCACATCTTGCAGAATCTGTGCAGGCGAGCCTTCCTCGTGTAGAGCCAAGAGAAAAGGATGGTAAAAGTGGAGCCAAGTTCATGGAGTTTCAGGAGTTGAACATATTAGTCAAGGTACAGGCTGGGCGCGGGCTTGCAAAGCAATTGCAGACACTTATACAAGAGAACCATGATGGTGTGGATGGCATTCCAAGTGTCCTTTGCGCAACCTATGGGGCCCTCATCGTCTGCCACGAAGGTGCAGAGAGTTCCCTTCAAATCATGGAGCTCGTTCACGGCGAATCAGTGGTTGACGTCAAGGGGAACCACAGTGGCTGTTGTGGCCGCAGTGCAGCACAGACGATAGCGAACAGTCCCAGCAGGGTCGCAGTACTGCAGGAGTTGCAGAGAATCTGTGCAGCACGGCCGCGCGGTGAGCCGTCGTTGCTACAAGAAGCGTTAGACTATCTTTGCCGCCGTGGACGGGTCGACTATTCTATTCTCATCATGGTTGGGCCAGACGGAAGAGTGCGCATCTGCATCATTGACTACTGCCAAGACTTTGGACCACAAAAGCGCTTGGAGTACTGGTTAAGGTCGACACTTCGGTGTTGTGCTCGCTTTTTGAGAGAGGGTGCAGTCATCCCCCCCAATGACTATGCGCAGCGCATGGTGGATTGGTGTAGAGGGTTGCTTAACAATCATGGGTTGCCATGAGAGATGCCGCAGCTCGGTCAAAAGCGTTTGCAGTTGCTGCAATCCCTTAAAATCATTTTTAAGAATCCCAAAACCCGCGAGCCGTGCAGCGTCGCGGCCCCGGTAGCTTGCGGTGTATTTCGACAACCAAGGGATACTGGGCTCCCTGGGTATTCGATCCATTTCAATTGGTTTGGGTGTTTAGTCCAACTCCTAAGTGCCAAACCCTGAACCCTAAGTGGTACCCTCCTCAGTTGCTCAGGCCTTTTGGTTTGGGGTCCGGGGTTTCGGGGGGCAGGGTGAGGCCTGTTGTTCGCGGTGTCGGGCTCTCGCAAGTTTGCCTCTATCTGGGTTTCAGGAGTTTGTGGGGCTTTGGGGTTAGTATAGGGTTGACTGGGATTTAGCTAAGTTGAGGACGCACAGTGTTTTAAAGGCTGTTCCAGCCCTGAACAAGCAGCTAGAGGTGGGTGCCGATGTGGCTGGCTTCATGGGCGATCCCGACCAGGAGCTCTTCGTGCGGTGGCACCAGCTGGGGGTGATTTGGCCCCAGTGGTTCAGGGGTTAAGGGCGCTGAAGGGTTCAGGGTTGCATGCGGGAGCGGCGCGAAGACGCGCAAGGAGGGACTAACCCCACCATCAGAGTTCTTTCGTCTCTCCAGCCTTAGCCGTCGGAAGTTTATTCGATGTTGGATGTGGGTTCTGTCCTAGGGGCTTGGTGGGTTCACTCTGTTGGTAAGTCCTCACCCCGCAAACCCTTCCACCGACAGGGAGTACTGGGGGGATCAGGTGTGGTATCCGTTCTACCGCGCGCACGCGCACCTCACGACGCAGCGGCGCGAGCCTTGGATGATGGGCGCCAGCGTCATGGGCAAGGTGCGCAAGGCCGTGCTGACCCGATATCGGATGCTGCCCACCTGGTACACCCTCACGGCCGAGTGGTCCCTGGCCGGCGCACCCATGATCCGGCCCATCTGGTACCACGACCTGGAGGATGCTGGGGACTAGCCGAGGGAGCCTTATAAGGGACCTTAGGGGATAATTTGGGGGGGGGGGTTGCTTAGGGGGTACTTAGGTATCTAGGGACCTTTATAAGGTATATTGGGGTTTAGGGTTTAGGGTTTAGGGCCCCTTGAGAGGATGCTGGGGCCTTCCAGCACGCGGACACGCACTTCCTGGTGGGAGAGTCCATCCTCGTCCGGGCCCCGGCCGAGAACGCCAAGTCGGCGCCTGCGCGGACAAGTAAGCAGCCTGTTAGGGTTTAGGGTTTAGGGTTTAGGGCTTAGGGTTTAGGGTTTAGGGTTTAGGGTACAGGGTTTAGGGTTTGTTTAGGGTACTGTAACCCCTGCTTTTTGGTGCACAAACATATGGGGGTTTACGAGGATAAGGGGACCCCTAATCTAGACCTCCAAATAGTACCCCTCATTTCGGAATCCCCCATCTTCATACCTATATTCGAGTCATCCCGGTATCCTGATTAAGCTTGTCCCCTCATGGTAGCCCTAGCTAAGCCTTCTAAACCCCCTAAGCCAAACCCCCGGAACCCCCCTCAACCCTAAACCCTTAGCCTTAAAACTTAAACCCTAAACCCTAAACCCTAAACCCTAAACCCTAAACCCTAAACCCTAAACCCTAAACCCTAAACCCTAAACCCTAAACCCTAAACCCTAAACCCTAAACCCTAAACCCTAAACCCTAAACCCTAAACCCCACCCTGAGGTGATGGTCTACCTGCCGGGGACCCGCCCTTGGTTTGATTTCTGGCAGCCACGGATCCATTCGCCCGGGAAGGCCTTCAAGGCGCCCCCCCCACTCCTGGGTGTAGAGTTTAGGGTTTTGGGGTTTAGGGTTTAGGGTTTCAGGGTTTTGGGGTTTAGGGGTTTTGGGGTTTTGGGGTTTAGGGTTTGGGGTTTAGGGTTTGGGGTTAGGGTGTAGGGTGTAGGGCTTGGGGTGACAGGGGCTTGCTTAGGGTCCATGACATCTTGCGCAAGGCTCAGGGCTCAGAGGTATGAGCCACGAACTCCGAAGTGGATGGTGTCCCTAAACCCCCGAAACCCTAAACTTTAAACCCTAAACCCTACACCCCGAACCCCCCTATATCTTGAAACCTCACAACGAAGAAAGGGCAGAAGCCCAAACCTCAAAGTTCCACCAACAACCCAGACACCCAGAAGCACCTCAAAGCCTTGGGTTTAGGGTTTAGGGTTTAGGGTTTAGGGTTTAGGGTTTAGGGTTTAGGGTTTAGGGTGGTTACCCGCAAACCCCTCAAACACCACCTCCTACTCGAACTCAAAAACCGTGCCTCCCCCCCAACTTGAACCCAAAACCCTACAGCCCTAAACCGAAAACCCAAACCCCAAATCCCAAATCCCAAACCCTAAACCCCAAACCCTAAACCCCCCACCCCTCCCCCCCCCCCCCCCCCCCCCCCCCCCCCCCGCAAAAAGAAAAAAAAAAAATCCGCCGAGGTGACCCTGAGCAAGAGCCACGTGCCGGTCTTCGTCCGCGCTGGCAGCTGCCTCGTCCAGCGCTCCCGGCCCCGGCGCAGTACCGGGGCCATGGCCCGGGATCCACACACGGCGCGCGGGGCGGGCGTTGGTTTGGGTGGTTTGGGGTTTAGGGTTTAGGGTTTGGGGTTTAGGGTTTGGGGTTTGGGGTTTGGGGTTTAGATTTGGGGTTTTTAGGTGAAGGGTGAAGGGTTAAGGAGTTGAGTGGTTTAGGAGGTTTAGGGGTTTGGGGGTTGTGGTTTGTGGTTTGGAGGGTTTCGAGGGTTGAGTGGTTTCGAGGCATCAGGTTTGAGTGGTTTATGGGATCTAGGTGTCCTCGCATAGATGTTGCGTGTTTTAGGATTTCAGGGGTTTAGGGGTTCTGGTCTCCTTCCTTCCTCTTGGGGGGACAAATAAGTAATTACGTATAAGCCCCTTAAGTGCCTGAATAGGGCTATAAGCATACTAATATGTACAGTTAGAAGTACAGTTATACTTGGTTAATATGGTACCATGAACCCTCCAAGTAGGTGGTCTGCTACGCCGACGCGGAAGGGCGAGCCGCCGGGAGGGTGTACTTGGATGACGGCGCCAGCCATGCATACCACACCGGGGCCTATGCTTCCCGGTCGTTGTTTTTTGTAGATGTTTGTACTTTCTAAGGCTGGCTCAACCTACCCCCAAACCCTCAAACCCAAAACTCTCCCAGCCCTAATCTCCCAAGAACCCCAAACCTCAGACAAGACTCTTCTTTCTTTGTGGCTCCTTAGGCTTCACAGGGTCGGCCCCTGGCTTAGGCGTGTCGTACCTCTAAGCCGTAAACCCTAAACCCTAAACTCTAAGCCCCAAACCCTAAACCCTAAACCCTAAACCCTAAACCCTAAACCCTAAACCCTAAACCCCAAACCCCAAAACCCCAACAATTTCAGGTCTTCGACGAGATCTCCATGGCGGGGTCCGCCCTTTGGAGCGCCCCGGGCCGGTTTCTGGATCCGGGGGCCGCCTTCCGCGCGGCCGCGCCCGCGGCCTCCCTGGAGAGGTCCATGCCAGAGGTCTCGGAGAGGCTTCGTTGCCATTAGGGTTTAGGGTTTAGGGTTTAGGGTTTGGGGTTTGGGGTTTGGGGTTTAGGGTTTAGGGTTTAGGGTTTAGGGTTTACAGCCCCCCAAGAGCCCGAAGCACCCCAAAAGGCGCAGCCCTAAGCCCGAGACCCCAAGCCTGAAGCCCCCTACACCCAAAGAACCCTAAGCCCCAAACCCTAAACCCTAGGCCTAAACCCTAAACCCTAAACCCTAAACCCTAAACCCTAAACCCTAAACCCTTAAACCCTAAACCCTCTACCCCTAAAGCCCCCTAAACGAGAGCTCAGCTAAGGACGGCTCTGCGCATCGAGCGCCTCGTGCTCGTCGGCTTGGACTCGGCCCCGCAGGCGATCTCAAACGCCGGCACCGAGCTGGCCTTCCAGGTGGCAGGGTTGTCAGGAGTTCCGGGTTGGGTTTAGGGTTTAGGGTTTAGGGTTTAGGGTTTGAAGGGGGGTTTCGGGTTTAGGGTTTAGTAGTGGGCTTGGGGGCTTCCAGAGTTGAGGCCTTCAGGGCTTCTCTTGAAGGGTTTAGGGTTTGGGGTTTGGGGTTTAGGGTTTAGGGTTTAGGGTTTAGGGTTTAGGGTTTAGGGCTAGCGTTTAGGGTTGCATGGCTGGCTCTCTGAACCCCAAGAGTTGAGGCCTCAGACTGGGAGTTCTCAGCCCGAAACCCTAAACGCCAAACCCTAAACCCTAAACCCTAAACCCAAAACCCTAAACCCTAAACCCTAAACCCTAAAGCCTAAACCCTAAACCCTAGGTGGAGCAGATGATCGACTCGGCCTTGAAGGTGGTGACCATCAAGGAACCCCGAGCGAAGCTCGGCGCCTCCTGGCGCGTAGACCTCCGCTTTGCAGCGTAGTTCGGGTTTAGGTTTAGGGTTTAGGGTTTAGGGTTTAGGGTTTAGGGTTTAGGGTTTAGGGTTAGGTTTAGGTTTTAGGGTTTAGGGTTTAGGGTTTAGGGTCTAGGGTCTAGGGTTTAGGGTTTCGGCCGCGAGTGTGCCGGACTTCCCTGCGAGAAGCAAGAAACTGTTGCAGGTCTCCCTCCTTGAAGGGTAAAACCCTAAACCCTAAACCCCAAACCCTAAACCCTAAACCCGAAACCCTAAACCCTAAACCCAGAAGATGCACCCCCAATTTCGGAATCCCCCATCTACTTGCGAAGTTACCTGAGCCCTTCCAGTCAGAGTCTCCTTGCAGGTGCAGATAAAGTAGTTTGGGTTACGGTATAGGTTACCTTGCCTCAAGCTTCTGTTGCAACCTATTGAGCCTTCTCGAAGGGTTTATGGGGATAGGCAGGAGTGTTCAGCATGGGGTTTGAAACCTTGGGGCTTTCAGGGCTTAGGGCTTCGAGTTTCTTCTGTTTTTGCTGTTGCTGGGGTTTTTGGGGCATCCCAGTTCAGCCCCCAAGCCCGCGAAACCCGAAACCCCAAACCCCAAACCCCAAACCCTAAACCCTAAACCCTAAACCCTAAACCCTAAACCCTAAACCCTAAACCCTTCAGTCCTCAACTCCAAAGATCCTTGTGGGGTCGTAGCACTCCTTCATAGTCGAAGCCCAAGGCCCCGAGCCCCGAAACCTCAAAACCCTAAACCCTAAACCCTAAACCCTAAACCCTAAACCCTAAACCCTAAACCCTAAACCCTAAACCCTGAACCTCCAAATCGTAAGCAATCCGAAGCCCGGAGCACCTAAATTCCACGGCGTGGCTACTATTTGCTTAAGAACCCCACCCCCCCCCAACGAACACAAAAAACTATTCCTTACAAGGGCAAATAGGGATTATTACAATCTATATATGTATATATATATATATACAGAAATATAACTGAAAAAATAAATGAAAATAAATAAATAAATATATATATATATATATATGTATATGTATGTATACACATTCTTTTTTTGAGTTTTAAGCAACTGGTAGACCCTTATGCCCTGAGCATGTTTCGGCCAGGCCGTCGCGCCATCCTGGTCATTTGTGGACCGGTGAACGTAGAAGTTTGGACCGGAGTAGTGGTCGTAAGGTTTAGGGCTTAGGGCTTAGGGTTTAGGGTTTAGGGTTTAGGGTTTAGGGTTTAGGGTTTAGTAGTGGTCATGAGGTTTAGGGTTTAATGAGGCTTTTGTGGAGATATCTTCTGCCCAAGGGGTTTAAGGTCAGCAAAGCACAAGGAAAGTGGAATGTGTAGCTTAGGGTTTAGGGCATTCAGCAGATCTAGAGCTAACGAGCCTATGGTCAGTCCTCCTTTTCAAACACCAAACCAAGGTTTCTTGGGTTTGGGTACAGGCATGAGCCACCTTGTCAGGCTGCGCTTAGATGGTTTGGGGATTGGGCTTGCGTGACTTGGCTACAAGACCCCCACGGTTCAGAAGGGGTGAGGGTTCAGGGCACCATGTCAGACAGAACTCTCATGATCCTAAACCCTAAACCCTAAACCCAAAACCCTAAGCCCTGAACCCTAAACCCTGATCTCATCCCTGTGCTGTGGAGGGACTCTCGGCAACATGCACCCGCAAAACCCCGAAGCGCCGGAAACCACCCACCTTAGGTTTCGCATCAGACTAGGCTTCGGAGTATGGGCCCTAAATTTCGGTCCCTTGTTATAGAACCCTTATATACACTACATGTAATAGGGGCCCATACTTCGGATCCCTATATACCAGGGTAAAGCGCCATGCAGGGGTGAATGGTTCCAAAGTTAGTAGAAGCCCGACTAGAAGCGTCATGGGGTAGGGATGATGAAGGCCCCAAAAAGCACCCTGAACGAGGTTCATGATGGTGATTGCCACCCTAAGCCATAGACTCATCTTTTCCATGCGGACCATAACCTCCAAAAATCAAAACCTGACTTTCTCAGACAATGTCGCTTCGCCAAGCCAAAAAGCGTGCCTTGCAGCTTCCCTCATCAAGCTGGGGTGAAGTTTAGGGTTTAGGGTTTAGGGTTTCGTCAAGCCCTACACGTGCCTGGATCATCAGGGTTTAGGCTTTCAGGCTTCGGGGGTTGGGGAGTAGACCCTAGACCCCGCATGAAGTGGCAGGGTTGGAACCCGAATGCCCCCAAACCCCAAACCCCAAACCCTAAACCCTGACCCTAAACCGAAAACCCTACACCCTAAACCCTAAACCCTAAACCCTAAACCCTGAACCCTGAACCCTGAACCCTGAACCCTGAACTGCGGCTTCCCTCCAAAAGGAACCCAGCAGTGCAAAACCAGGATCGCAGGACATTGGCAAGCCTGGGAACTTTCGAGCAACTGCCAATCTAAGGGTTTAGGGTTTAGGGTTCAGGGTTTAGGGTTTAGGGTTTAGGGTTTACGGTTTAGGGCTTAATATAGTCCCTTACCTCCTGTAAAGGGTTCTGATGTAAGGGCCCTTACTTGTACAGGGTTTTTAAGGGGTTTTAAGGGCCCATACTAAGGTTCCAGCCCTATGTCAAAAATCTCAAGTAATGGGTTCAGGGTTCGGGGTTCAGGGTTTAGGGTTTAGGGTTTAGGCTGTAGGGTGTAGGGTTCAGGGTGGATCAGAGCCTTCATGGCACATCGCGCCCCAACACGCTCAGGGCACGCGGCAATCTCTCCCCCTGCATGTTTTATGTCAAGCCCAAACCCCTAAACCCAACACACCTTGAACCCCAGACCTTAAGCTCTGAACCCAAAACCCTAAACCCTAAACCCCTAAACCCTAAACCCTAAACCCTAAACCCTAAACCCTAAACCCTAAACCCTAAGCCCTAAACCCTAAACCCCGAAACCCTGAACCCTAACCCCTAAACCCGGAAACCCTAAATCCGAAGCCCCCACGCTTCATAAGTGCGCCGCCACCGAGCTGCTTGGGATTCAAGGTGCTGCTCCCCAAAAGCTACTGTTTGCTTAAGAACCCCAAAAGAAGAAAAAACAAAAATGCCTATAGTACCCTTAACAAGGAAGAATATTTATTTTTTTTGGGGGGTTCTTAAGGAACTCGTAGAAAACGCCACAGCCCTGGACCTTTGCACCTCCTGAAGCCTTAACGATTTAGGGTTTTGGGTTTATAGGGTTTGGGGTTTATAGGGTTTAGGTTTATAGGGTGTAGGGTTTAGTGTTCAGGGTTTAGGGGTTTAGGGTCCAGGGTTTAGGGTTTAGGGTGTTCACCTTAACGCTATAAAGCTTCCGTAAGCCATGCAGTGGGTCTCGTCAGCCATGTCGTCCTTTCTTGCAGACTTTGCAGACGCGCTGGCCGGCTTGCTTGGCCTCCGGATGCTGCGCCTGGCCAGCTGTTCCAAAGCCTTCCAACACGCTTTCGACCACGACCCCCGGATTTGGGGCGCGCTCCTCCAGCACGAGATCAACTTCCGCTGCGTTCAGAACCTCGTACCCCTGAGCTTTCGTTGTCGGGTTGCGGTCTATGCTTCGTCGTTGTTTTAGTTTTGCGGTGTGGGGGGTGACGCAGCACACCGTTACTTGGGAATCCAGGAACAGAGACGCGGTAGCTGCATCAATCTTCAAGCGCCTGCCGCCGACGGCAAAACAGCTGAAGTTGCTCGGGCTGATCTTTGAAGGCTCAAGGTTCAAGGGTCCTTTGTAAAGTTGCCTCATAAAGAGCTGAAGACATAGCTTTTCTTTTACTTATGGAGGCTGCATGCTACCCTGCACACCCCTTCTAGTCGCTGTCTGTAGTGACTGCTTTGATTACCAGGCGGAGCAATCCCTGTAGACCCGAAGCCCTTGAACCCTAGAACCCTAGGACAGTTGACCCCTGGAACCCAGGAGCCAGAGGCCCTAGAGCCCTAACGGCCCTAAACCCTAACCAGAGGTTGGACTTGGGCAACTGCTGCTGGAAGTTCAAAGACAACACCATCAGTGACGAGACGCTGAGGCTGCGAACCCGAATACACCCCCAAACCCTTAATCCCTAAACCCCTAAACCCCTAAACCCTAAACCCTAAACCCTAAATCCTAAAACCTAAGCCCTAGAGAGCCGAACCACCCCCCGCCCCCCCCCCCCGCCCCTCCCCTTCCTGAAATCGCGGATCCCTTAGCCCTGAATTTGACCAAAGCCCCAGCAATCTTTCTAGTAACGATTCGTGTAGCTCTTCCAGCAAGAAAATGCATCCACGTCATGCCAATCCATTGTTGCGTGCTGGCTTAAGGGCTTTGGCGACAGCTTGGGCGTGGTTGAAGTATGCTTGGTTGTATGTTTAACCATGTTCAAGCTTGGCTTGGCGACTATGCTTGTGGCATTGTTGGGTATTGGTGGCTGGTGTTCTAAGACCTGCGCTGTGACTGCTTTTGATGATTGATAGCAGGGTCCGTCGTGTCTTTTGTTGGTACGTCTTTGATTGGCATGAGCAGCATGTGCAAGGAGGCGCGGCTTGGGGTTCAGTAGGGTGGAAGATGCCCAACCGGGTGCTACCCTGGAGCTTAGGCGGTTAGACCAAAACACGACCAACTCTCAAGCCGGGAGTGGTTCATCACAAGAACGCCCTAAACCCTAAACCCTAAACCCTAAACCTAAAAACCCTAAACCCCTAACCCTAACCCTAACCCTAAACCCTAACCCTACACCCTAAACCCTCAACCTTAGACCCGAACCGCCCTAAACCCCCAAGCTTTGAGCCCCAGACCTGAGCCACCAGAACTGCCTAGGCTGCTGGTCAAAAACATTCCGCCAGCACTGTGGAACTCTCGATCCTGCACATGAGGCCAGCAGTTAGGGTTCACAGCTTGGGTGTGGAGCATGGTGGGTGTTTAGGGCTCGGGTGTAGGGTTCAGGGTTTTTAGGGTTATGGAGTACAGGGCTGCTGGTGAGTAAGTGAGCAACGGGCCCCTTGCGCCCACAGCAAAAACCACACCCCCCCCGCCCCCCCCCCCCCCCCCCCCCCCCCCCCCACACCCCCCGCACACGCAACAAAGAAACTCCCGCAACAAAGCACTCGGACCGGTTTAGGGGCTAGGCAAGGAGTCGGGATAACGGTGTCTGGGGTGAAGGATTTGGTGCTTGAGTCGTACTCGGGTTGAGTGTGGGCGGGAAGTAGTGTGTTGGAGGCAACCCTAAACCGCAAAACCCTAAATCCCAAAGCCCCCCGAAGCCGCCAGGCCCCAAGCCCCACCTCGGCCGGGGCAAGCCCATACCTGAGATCCCAAGCACAAACCAAAACTCTCGCCTGAACCTTAAACTTAAAAACCCAAAATCCCAAAACCCAAGCCCCAAACCTTAAACCCCAAACCCCAAACCCCAAACCCCAAACCCCCAACCCCCAACCCCCAACCCCAAACCCCAAACCCCAAACCCCAAACCCCAAACCCCAAACCCCAAACCGCAAACCCCAAACCCCAAACCCCAAACCCCAAACCCCAAACCCTAAACCCCAAGCCTGGGGCCGGAGAAGTTCCCAAAAGAGGCCCCGTGGGAAACTTTGCCCAGCCTTTGGGCCGGACTTTGTGAGGAGACTGGGGCGTTGGGATCAGGGTTTGGGAAGTTTAGGGTTTAGGGTTTCGGTTTAGGGTTTGGGGTTTAGGGTTTAGGGTTCAGGAAGTTTTTGGTCTACGGGTCTATGTGTTTCGGAGTTTGGAGTTCGGGGATTAGGGGAAGTTTCAGTCTAAGGGGTTCGGGGTGTTGGGGGTTTGGGGTTTAGGGTTTAGAGTTTTGGAGGTTGGGATGTTGGGTTTTTTTTAGGGGATCCGGGCAGTAACTTGTGGAGTGCTCTCGCACCCTTGAGTTTGTAGCTTCTAAGCCCATGGAACTGAAAGGCACACGCAAAAAAAGTCCCCCAAACACTTCGCATGAGCAATTTTTAACTAGGGTTTGGGTAGCCCCCCCACCCCCCCTGAAAACCTCTGACAGGGCTCAGAGGGTTTCTGAGGGTCCTATGGTTTGGGGTTTAGGGGGGTTAAGGGTTTAGTGGTTAAGGGGTTCAGGGGTTCAAGGGCTTAGGGTTGTGTAGGGCTTTAGGGGTTTAGGGGTTTAGGGGTTTAGGGGTTTAGGGGTTTAGGGATTTAGGGGTTTAGGAATTTAAGAAGCCCTCAGGCCCCTCGGAAGCTGCCGCTTCTGAGGTAGAAACTTGTGGATAGGCATCCTTTATGCAAAGTCTTCCCCTTTGTTGCATTCACAAGGACACCGGAGCCCGTATCGATCCTCATTGGGCCGTAGATATGTACATACAGTTCCCAGATCCCTAAATCCTAAACCCGCCCTAAACCCTCAACCCTCAACCCTAAACCCTAAACCCTAAACACAGAGATCCCCTCAGGAGCGGTTTCCCCTATCGGGTTTAAGAATTCGAAACAGTTTTGGGAGGGTCTTCAGGGCCAAGTCCGGAGGTAGGGTTTGGGGTTTTAGGATTAGGGTGTAGGGTTTAGGTTTTAGGGTTTAGGGTTTTGGGGTTTAGGGTTCAGGGTCCAGGGTTCAGGCGGTATTCCCCAGAGTAATCCTATAAGATTTGGAATGGAGCTGAGCACCGTAAGCCTTAATTCCTTGTCATTGCTTTAGGGGGTTTAGGGTTTAGGGTTTAGGGTTTAGGGTTTATGGCTTACACTAGATGTAGCCTTCTAGGTCGTGCGATGTGCGGATTCGGTTTGGGTTTTTGGCTTAAACGCCCTGGAACCCCCAAAGCCCTAAACCCTAAACCCTAAACCCTAAACTCCAAACGCCAGGAGCTTGCCAGCCAAATTGAAGAAGCTGGACCTTTTCGCCGACCTATCGCAGGAAACGGCCATGGCGCTGTTGGGGTGCCAACTCGCGCAAAAAGTCGGGTTTCGGAGAAGGGTCCGCCAAGAATATTGTGCATCCGCAACAAGGAACCCCCCCCCGACCTGAACGCTGAGCATCAAACCCCAAAACCCCCTCGGCATTACTATAGGGAATACCTCCTGAACCCTAAGCCCTAAGCCCTGAACCTGCCCTAAGCCCCCAACGCCCCCTCAGGGTCGGACCTGCTCACCTCAACCTTCAGGCTTCTAAGCCCCTTCCCCTAGCCTGAACTTCCGAGACCCAACCCCAGACCCGAAACCTTAAACCCTCCCAAACCCTGCCCCCTGAACTTCCCCCCCAAACTTCCCCCTAAACCTTCCCCTAAACCTTCCCCCAAGCCTTCCCCTAAATAAACCTTCGCCTAAACCTTCTCCGAAGCCTTCCCCTAAATAAGCCTTCCCCTAAACCTTCCCCCGAACTTCCCCTAAACTTCCCCTAAACCTTCCCCCAAACTTCCCCCCTCAGCTCCTCTCCGCTTCCTCAAACCCCCGCCGCCAGGTGCCTTCCCGCCGGGCTCCTGGAGCTGAACATGCACATCGGCGACTGCCTGAAGCTTGAGCTTTCAAGTCCTTGAAGGGACCCCTTCGGAATCTAAGCACCCTGACACCCTGACACCCTGACACCCTGACACCCTAAACCCTAAACCCTAAACCCTAAACCCTAAACCCTAAACCCTAAACCCTGAACCCTAAACCCTAAACCCTAAACACTAAACCCTAAACCCTAAACCCTAAACCCTAAACGCCCTACTAAACCCTAAACGCCCTAAACCCTAAACCCCAAAACCTAAACCCGAAGAGCAAGTTCAACCCTAACCCCCCCCCTTCCCCGCCCAAGCAATTGAATCTCGCATCTTCCGGAGAAGCAAGGAAGTGGAATGCGGAGGCCTTTCGGTCCTTTGCGGAAGGCCAGAGGGCTGTCAAGGGGACCTAGTGGCGCCTTATCAGGGCTTTAAGCCTCAGAACTGGTTCGTAGGGAATGAGGGAGTTAGGTACCCTATATCATCCTTTAGAGGTTATGTCTAGGTATTAAGGTCAGGGGCTTTCATGTTCAGCAAGTCTCAACCCAAGGGGCTGCTCTAGGGGCTTTAGGGCTGCTTGGGGTCCTGATGGCGTAGACGTTTCAGGGTCATTTTGGGCGTTCAGGGGTTTGTGGTCCTTGTGGTCTTAGGGCTTTCAGGGTTTAGGGCGATGGTGTTCGGGGGATTTGGGCTCTCTAGGTTGTTGATTCTTAGGGTGTGCCAGGGCTGCATGGGGAGGGCTTTAGTACATTGATCGCCTTCCGACCTTCTAGCGGCCGAAACCTAAACCGCGAACCCTCAACCCCAAGCCAGCAATCTTCTTTTGGTGGGGCTTTGGGGTTTGCCAGCTTTGGGTCTGAGAGCTTGCCACCTGCAAGGGTCTCAAACCCAAGCCCCAGGCCCCAGACCCTCCTAAACCCTAAACCCTAAACCCTAAACCCTAAACCCTAAACCCTAAACCCTAAACCCTAAACCCTAAACCCTAAACCCTAAACCCTAAACCCTAAACCTAACCCTAAACCCTAAACCCTAAACCCTAAACCCTAAACCCTAAACCCTAAACCCTAAACCCTAAACCCTAAACCCTAAACCCTAAACCCTAATCCCCAGCCGGCCTGAACTCTTCCCAATCACGACGGAGTTTCCCTGTGCCGAAGGCTTCCCCCGGCAGCTGCGCCTCTTGGACTTCGACCTTGAAGGCGACCTGAGGCAGGGTTTAGGGTTTAGGGTTTAGGGTTTAGGGTTAAGGGTTTAGGGTTTAGGGTTTAGGGTTTAGAGCCTGAACCCCTTCGTAAGAAGCCCTAAGCCCTAAAACCCGTACTTGCAGGTTCATGGTACTCATGAACCAATTATAACTGCACTTATAAGCCCACTGATAAACCCCTTAGGTGCCCTAATATGGTTATAAGTACAGTTATGAGTACAGTTAGAATTGGTTAATAGGTACCATGAACCTCCAAGCAACCCCTAAACCCTACACCCTAAACCCACTGTGCGGGGGGTTTGTTGAGACCCCAAAGCCCTAAAACCCTAAAACCCTAAAACCCTAAAACCCTAAAACCCTAAAACCCTAAACCCCTAAAACCCTAAAACCCTAAAACCCTAAAACCCTAAAACCCTAAAACCCTAAAACCCTAAAACCCTAAAACCCTAAAACCCCAAAGCAGGGGTTTGTTGAGACCCTGAACAACCCCACAGAGCCCCGAGCTTTAAGCAACCAGACCCGAAGCCCTTAAAACATAGGGGGTCGGCATAGCTACAAATAATGTTCCCTTAGGGCCCCTTTATAAGTGTACTACAACAACACCCCCCCCCAAAACCCTATTCTAATTCTTCAGTCCCCTATGTTAGGCGCCGCTGTCGGGCTTCCGCTGGTTTAGGGGCAGGGTCCTTTCGGTTGCGGAAGCCGATTGCTTTGCATGCCCGAACCTTAGATGCCTGCACCTTCGACGCGAAAGTTTCCCGAAAGCCTAAAGATCTGGAGCCCAAGCTTAAGCCTCAGCGTTGAGGGTTGAGGGGTTGAGGCGCACGTTCTTGAGATTGCAAGAGATGTCGAGCCTGGCGCCTTTCTTCCCTGAAGCCTTCATTAAAGGGCCCAGAAAGCTGAGCGAGGTTTCGGGGCACGACGCAACGCCCTAGCCTGTAAACCCTACTTGGAACCCATGGAACAAAACTGCCTTTTCGGGTGCAGGACCTCCAGAAACAGAGGCTGCAACCTTAAACAAGAAGGTTCCGTCAGACCTAAACCCCTAAACCCGAAACCCTAAACCCTAAACCCTAAACCCTGAACCCTGACCCCTAAACCCTAAACTGTTAATTCTACGAAGAACCAAGCTTAACGCGGTTCCAGGGGCTTTGGCCCCTTGGCTGCGGAGCTGGCGGCCAGCGGACTCACGACGCTGCGCTGCCTGGCTTTTTCTTCAGCAAGTGCAGGGGACCTTAGTACTTGGAGGTGCGTGGGTACTTATAGCCCCAGTAACTGTCCTTCTAAGCCGCCGAAGTCCTCTAAGCAGGTTACAAGTAGACTTATAGGCGGGGGTAGAAGTACCCAGGAACCTCCAAGCAGTAGAGTATACGCGGACGCAAGGAGCTCATTCACACACCCTACATTTAAAACCTACTCTTTAAAATCTCGGAGCACCCACTCTAAACCCCGCAAAGCTCTTGAAGCCCTGTTAGCCCCTACACCCGAAAACCCCGAGCCCTCGACCGTGCGCTGTTTCGTTTATGCCTAGACCCTATCCCCGGCTGGTGTGGGTGTAGGCTTTAGGATTCAGGGTTAGGGGTTTTGGGTTTGGGGTTCAGGCATGCTTACGTAGGGTGGTGTTGCGCTTGCCGACTCTCCCATGACACCATGCCCTAAACCCTGAACCCTAAACCCTAAGCCCTAAGCCCTAAACCCTAAACCGTAAACCCCTAACCCTAGACCCCAAAACACGAACTTCGACTTGTTCCTAAACCCTAAACCCTAAACCCTAAACCCGAAACCCTAATCCCTAAACCCTAAACCCTAAACCCTAAACCCTTCGTCTTGCTCCGAGGCTTGAGTTTCGGGAGCGTGCAGCACTCGGAGGCAGCTGTGTCCTTGGGTTTGTTGTTTAGGGTTTAGGGTTTAGGTGTGTGGGTCCCGGGCTCTCAGGGTTTGGGTGCCCTGGTAGAAGTTTCCCGAAACCCCAAACCCTAATCCCAAAAGCCCTCAACCCTAGGCCCCAAACCCTAAACCTCTCACCTTTCGGTCCCAAAAAACCGAGGCCCTCATCCGGAGCTTCAGTCTGTTTAGGGTTTAGGGTTAAGGGTTTAGGGTTAGGGTTTAGGGTTTAGGGTTTAGGGCGTTTAGGGCGTTTAGGGGGTTTAGGGTTTAGGGCGTTTAGGGTTTAGGGTTTAGGAACTTCTCCGGCACCGAAAAGCGAAGCTCCAACCCCCCCACAGCTGGGCCTAGGGGTATTCAGGGCTCAGGGTTGATGGATTTCAGGGTCAAGGGTCTAGGGTTTAGATATTCAGGGTTCAGGGTTTAAGGGTTTGGGGTTTAAGCGTTTAGGGTTTAAGGGCTTAGGGTTTAGGCCTCAAGGCTTTCCTGCCCTCAGGGTCTTTGTTATTGTTCTCGAACTCCAAAACCCGAAACTCCAAGTCACCTAAACCCTTATCTCTTAACCCCTAACCCTAAACCCTAAACTCCTAAACCCTAAGCCCTACACCCTAAACCCACACCCTACACCCTCAACTCTAAATCCTAGACACTAAACCCTAAACCCCCGCTCAACATCGAGTATCCAAGCTGAGCCTTGGATGGGAGGCCCTAGCGGAGCTGTTCGCCGCCCTTCCGCCCAGCCTCACCGAGCTACAGCCAATTTGCCTTGATCGTGGGGGTGGGCATTTCCCAAAATAGGGGTACCCTGGTTATACCCCCAAATAGAATAGAATCCCCCTAAAGGGACCCCCAAGAAAAGGGTACCCCTATTCTCGGAACATTTTGGGTGGGGAGGGTGGGGGCGGGGGGGGGGGGGTTTAGGGTTTCAGGTTTGGGGCTTAGGGCATAGGGCTTCGGGTGAAGAGCCGGTTTTCTGGGGATTCGGCTTACAGATTTCTGGCCAGTGCAGGGTGTTGGCTTTGGGATTCTTCGGGTTCGGGGACTTGGTTACTTGGCCCTAAACCCTAAACCCTAAACCCTAAACCCTAAACCCTAAACCCTAAACCCTAAACCCTAAACCCTAAACCCTAAACCCTAAACCCTAAACCCTAAACCCTAAACCCTAAACCCTAAACCCTAAACCCTAAATCCTAAACCCTAAACCCTAAACCCTAAACCCTAAACCCTAAGCGGACCTCAAGCCCCTGAAGAACCTGTCGCTTTAGTTGTGCTTTTTGGTGCGTGTGCGGGGGGGTGGGGGATGGCGGGTGCGGGGTGGAGGGTGGGTGGTTAGACCTTAGGTTTAGGGCTTAGGGTTTCGGGGTAGTTGTGTCTTGTGAGGCGTTGGGGGGGATCGTGAAAGCTCGTCAGGTTCGGGGTTGCTCTGTGAAATGGCACCCCTTCCCCGAGGCTCCTCATGCAGGGCATCGGCCTGTCCGACAACTGTTGCGAGGCTGGCGGCTGAGAAAGCTGCGCTGTTTTTTGGGTTTGGGGGTTCTAGGGCCTTAGGTTTGGATTTAGAAGGGTCATTCGCAAAAACCCTAAACCCTAAACCCTAAACCCTAAACCCTAAACCCTAAACCCTAAATAAACCCTCAACCCCAAAACCCCCAACAGAGACCCCCCCCTCCCGGTTTCCGGAGCTGCAAACCCTAAGAACTTCGTCTTGTTCCTAAACCCTAAGCCCTAAGCCCTAAGCCCTAAACCCTAAACCCTAAACCCTAAACCCTAAACCCTAAACCCTAAACCCTAAACCCTCAGCCCTAAGCCCTAGACCCTAAACCCTAAACCCTAAACCCTAAACCCTAAACCCTAAACCCTAAACCCTAAACCCTAAACCCTAAACCCTCAGCCCTAAGCCCTAGACCCTAAACCCTAAACCCTAAACCCTAAACCCTAAACCCTAAACCTAAACCCTCAAGCCTACTTGCTTAAGAGCCCCCGAACAATGAAAGAAATTTTCCTTACAAATGAAATTGTGGGAATTTGTTTTTTTTTGGGGATTCTTAAGCAAACAATAGCTTAGGGTCTAGGGTCTGAGGACTTGGTGTTGCAGATGCCGCTTATGTGGAACTGGAAGTTTGTGAGGCGTTTTGTGGGGGGGTTTCAGTAAACTCAACTTGGTTTAAGGGATGACTAGAGCTGGGATTCCCTTTAGGTGTACCTTCTGGGGTATGGGGATAAGGAGGTTCCGAACTTTTTGGAGGTTGCTGTAGGCAGTTGTGGGGGCTTGAGGGTTGTCGGTGCAGGGGTTCTTCGGGGTTCGGGACTGAGGCTTGAGGCCACAAACCGGAAACTCCCGCGATTTTGAGTTGAGGGCTAAGAGGGTTAGGGAAGGAATCAGAAACCCTGTACCCCTTGCCTGGTCTGATTGAATCACCCAATCAGATAGCTAGGACCCAGAGTAGGCCCCTATGAGGTGCGGGCGATCTTCGTCTCCAGAATCGCAAACCCGACTCGCACAGTACTCCAAACCCTCAACCCTAAACCCTAAACCCGAAACCTCACAGCACCAGTGTGTTTGGCCTCAGGTCCTCTTTTCAGCCCGAGAACCCGGGTTAGGGTTTAGGGTTTGGGGCCCGAAACTTTGAGAATCACTCCTTAACCATGAATCACTCCTTAGCCCCAGGCCCTGAACCCCAAACTGCAGAGAAGCACCCAATCCCATTCCTAAGGAGCTGGGGCGTGGCCTGCGGCGCCTTACCTGCCTGCGCGCGCTGGAGCTTCATCTCGAACACTGCCCAGTCGGGCGTGTTCTACAGGCCCTCGGATTCATGATACGAGGGCTGACAGGGTGTTTTGGGTAACCCTATGTAGGGTCAACCTTGAATGTTAAACCCTATGCCCTCAAGGCCCTTCTTCTTTTTTTGGTGTGTGCCTGGGTGTAGATGGGTAGTTCTCTAAATCAGGGTACCTTTTTGAGATCCCTTCCAAAGGTGCCGCCTTATAATGGGTACCCAAAAAGGGACCCTAATTTAGGAAACCGCCCAGATGTTTTTGCTCTTTCTTGTGTGTGTGTGTGTGTAGGTGTGGGATTTGTTTGGGGTTCTGGTGCTCGGGGTCGTTTTGCCGGTTGGGGGCCTTGGGCTCCGGGGGTGTGGTTCCGGCACCCCGCTGTTGGAAATCTAGGGATGTCACACCTTGAGGCCTACACCCCATAAAAGAGTCGGGGGTGGTGGGGGGGGGGGGGGAAGGGCCCAGATTCACCCAAATTCAGGCCTGGCTAAGCCCAAAGAAGACCTTAGCAAGCCTCAATAACAGAAGGTGGGCCCCTTCCCCCTCCCCCCGCTGGGTTTGTTCTTAGTGGTAGAGTAGGTAACCTTTAATCTTTTTGGTGTACTACATTCCCTGTATAGGCCCGCAGGTTAACCTTCAGTTCCCCAAGGATACTGGACAGCTAAGTCTTATGAAAACCCAAGACTTCCTAAACCCCTCCTTGATCCTCCAGGCTTGTAGGAAGTAAGGGTGCGAACCCTAAACCCTAAACCCTAAACCCTAAACCCTAAACCCTAAACCCTAAACCCTAAACCCTAAACCCTAAACCCTAAACCCTAAACCCTAAACCCTAAACCCTAAACCCCAAACCCTGCTCTTTGTTCTGGATGGAGCTCAGCACAGACGAAGCGTCAGCTTGAGTTGTTGTTCTTCGGTGTTCCAAAAGGCTGGCGTCTTTGAGGATGTACAGGTAAGGCTTGGGTGTGGCACGCTGCCCAGTATGCGAGTCAGGCCTAAACCCCTAAACCCCTAAACCCCTAAACCCCTAAACCCCTAAACCCCTAAACCCCTAAACCCCTAAACCCCTAAACCCCTAAACCCCTAAACCCCTAAACCCCTAAACCCCTAAACCCTAAACCCCTAAACCCCTAAACCCCTAAACCCCTAAACCCCTAAACCCCTAACCCTAACCCCTAAACCCCTAAACCCCTAAACCCCTAAACCCCCAAACCCCTAAACCCCTAAACCCCCAAACCCCTAAACCCCTAAACCCCTACAACCCTGTCCCTAAACCCAAACCCTAAACCCTAAACCCTAAACCCTAAACCCTAAACCCAAACCCTAGACCCTAAACCCCTCAAACCCTTTCCTTAGGCTCCGTGCCGGAGCCTCATCAACCTCGAGCTTTCGCTCTGGACCCTGGGGCCGGCGGACGCGATCCAGCTCAGCAACTTCGCTTCCCGGCTCCAGGGCAGGGTTTAGGGTTTAGGGTTTGGGGTTTCGGGTTTTGGGTTAAGTGTTCAGCAACTTCGCTTCCCGGCTCCAGGTCTTAGGCGGTTGGTGTTATAGGGCAGTTTAGGGTTTGGGGTTTGAGGTTTAGGGTTTAGGGTTTAGGGTTTAGGGTTTAGGGTTTAGGGTTTAGGGTTTAGGGATAGGGTTTGGGGCTTAGGGGTTTAGGGGTTTAGGGTTCGGGTTTCGGGTTTCGGGTTTCGGGTTTAGGGTTTAGTGCCCAACAACTTCGCTTTCCGGCTTCTTTGTGCAGGAGAGGGGGGCAGAGGGCTTCAGGTTGCTTCAGGTTTTCTAAGGCTTTTCACGGTTTTAAGTCTTGTTCAAAGTTTTCTACAGGTTTGTTTTGTCTTTGTTTTTGTGGGTTTAGGGTTTCATTTCCGCAGAGGTGCCTGGAGCACTTGGAGGACCCTAAACTTCGTGGGCCCTCAAACCCTAAACATGAAACCCTACACCCTAAGCCCTAAACCCTAAAACTGTCACCCTACATGAGGCTTTTCACCTCATAAGAGCCCATGGCTTTATGAAACCATGCAGTGCTAACGCCCTCTTGCCCTTACAGAAACCCTCTAACCCTCGAACTCTCTAACCCTCTAACCCTTCAAACCCATAACCCTATACTAACCCTATAACCCTTAAACAAAGAGTAAAAGAACCTAAAAGCCCTGCAACCCCGTAACCCTACTCTAACCCTATACCAACCCTATAACCCTGTACTAACCCTGTAACCCTATATTAACCCTGTAACACTATACTCACCCTATAACCCTATAACCCTGAAGAAGAGCAAAAAGTTCCCAAAAGCCCTGTAACCCTACAAACCTACAAGACTTTAACCCTCTAACCCTATCAACCCTCCGAAGCTCTAGCCCTGAACCTGGCAGCCGGGTTTAGGGGTTTAGGGTCTAAGGTCTAGGGTTTAGTGTCTAGGGTCTAGGGTTTAGGGTTTGACATGCACAGGTGAACGGGTCCAACCTCCAACGCCTTGGCCTCTATCTTGAGGGCCCACACCCCCAGGCGCGGGAACCGATGTGGGGGGGTTTACGAAAACTAGGGGACCCCGAATATAGACCCCCAAATCGTAGGATCCCTGTAAAATCAGGACCCCAATAAAGTACCCTGATAAACCCCATGTATGCTGCGAGGGTTGTGAGAGGGGGGGGGGGGGCGGCTGGGGATCTCAACCCTAAACCCTAAACCGTAAACCCTGTCATGTTTTGTAGACTTCTTTTGTTATTGCTTTTATCTTTTGTGTGTGTGTGTGTTGCCAAGAGCGAGCGCACGGCAGGACGCTTTTGGGATCATTGTGTGGGGTTCAGGGCCTTAGGGAATTCCAAAGGGTTTAGGGTTGAGGGTTGAGGGTTCAGGGTCTAGGGTCAGGCGGAGGATGCAGGCTTTCGTTTGCCCGTTCCTTGCTGGGTGCCTGAGGTTTGGGTTTTTGAAGTTGAGAGGAAGCTCTGCCGATCGTACCTTTGTCAGGAACATGCGAAACCCTAAGCCTACGAGGACCCAGAGTAGGCCCTTATTCCCTTGTTTTTAGGGTTGTTATTCCTACGTTACTCCTGGGTCTAGCCTAAACCCTAAACCCTAAACCGCAATATTGATAAGTTGAACCCAAACCCTGGAGCCAGAACCTGACCCTAGAACCCGAAGGCCCTGAAATCCCTGTATCGCCAGAATCCTAACCCTGAAGTCAACCCCCCTAAACCCCTAAACTCTTAAATTCCCTAAACCCTAAACCCTAAACCCTGAACCCTGAACCCTGAACCCCAAACCCCAAACCCTAAACCCTAAACCCTGAACCCAAACCCTAAACCCTGAACCAGAAACCCCGCAGGTCTGCCGCGCTCTAACCCCGCTCCCCGCATCACTTGAGGAGCTGGGCGTGGAGGGTCGAGGGTTCAGGGTTTGAGGGCTTCAGGGTTCAGTACGGTTTAAGTTTAGGGATGTTTAGGGTGCAGGGTTTAGGGTTTAGGATTTGGGGTTTAGGCTTCAGGTTTAGGGCTGGGCTTACAACCGTACATGCTGATTCTGAGACAGCTGCTTGCTGCATTCCCTGAGCCGTCACGCAAACCGTTAAGCTCTCGCATCCGACGGCAGCTCCCGCACTCAACGCCCCCTTCCCCTCATACGACCCTCTACTGTTTTCGCCAAGTCGCTCTCACCGCCCCCGGCGCTTTCGAGAGCAAGATCAGAAAAGCGAGCAAAGCTAGTCAAAGCTCGAGATCAGTTAATTGGGCTCTTCTGAACGGAAACCTCTTCTACGCCCTTCAACCCCTAAAGCCCTCTAAACCCTAAAGCTCCCTAGACCCTAACGCTCCCCAAACCCTAAAGCTCCCCAAACCCTAAACCCTAAACCCGAAGTTTCACGGAGGGTGAGCAGCGGCTAAACCCCCCAAAACCCCCCCAACTGCCCCAAAGCCCCTTATCCAAACCCTAAAGCCCTAAACCCCTAAAACCCTAAAACCCTAAAACCGTAAACCCTAAACCCTAAACCCTAAACCCTAAACCCTAGACCCTAAACCCTAAACCCTAAACCCTAAACCCTAAACCCTGGAGGAGCTCGACTTCAACGTCTGGGACCGCAGCGTCGGGGGCGAGGCCGTGCTGACACTGGCGAGTGAGCTCCCGCCACGGCTTCGGGCTCCTTTGACGGACTCGGGGAGGGGGTGTGTTTAACCCTAAACCCTAAACCCTAAACCCTAAACCCTAAACCCTAAACCCTAAACCCTAAGCCCTAAGCCCTAAACCCTAAACCCTAAACCCTAAACCCTAAACCCTAAACCCTAAACCCGAAGCCACTAGACCCTAAACCCTAAACCCTAAACCCTAAACCCTAAACCCTAAACCCTAAACCCTAAACCCTAAGTCCGTTGAGCGCGCCGAGGTTCTGCATCTTCATTTCTTGGAGGCCGACATCATCCCGGCCCCAAACATCGAGACGCTTCTGGCGAGCCTGCCAACCACTACCTTGCGCCTCGCTTCTCCCCAGTAGCTGCGGTGTTGAACCCTAAACCCTAAACTAAACCCTACACCCTAAACCCTACACCCTAAACCCTAAACCCTAAACCCTAAACCCCAAACCCCAAACCCTAAACCCTAAACCCCTCCTCTGAGGGCCATCTAAATGGCTTCAGCCTGAACCCTGAACCCTGAACCCTGAACCCTGAACCCTGAACCCTGAACCCTGAACCCTGAACCCTGATGGGTTAAGGGTATAGGCATAGGGTTTAGGGCCCTGCTTGACCAAGGCACACCCTGAGCTTGAGCTTCGAGTGGTCGGGCTTCTGCCAGCTCACGGAGCCCAGCCCGTATTTGGGGGCTTTCAGGGTGTAGGGTTTAGGGTTAAGGGTTTGGGGTTTAGGGTTTAGGGTTTAGGGCGTATTTTGGGGGCTTTGGTGTTTTGGGTGTGTTCGGAGTTCAGTTGGTCAGGGTTTAGGGTTTAGGGTTTTGGAGTTCGGTTCGTCACCTGTCCGGGTTTGGGTTTGGGGTCTCAAGGCTTGAGTTTTCCATTGTAGGGTTGGGGCTTGGGTTGGTTGTACTTGTAGCGAGCCACAAATGTATCTATCTATCTATCTATCCATCCATATTATATATATATATATATACATTTGTAAATATATTGTTTTGAGGGCGTTTCCCACGGGCTCCTTAGGAATGATGCGTTTTGTTTGCGTACATTTCTCAGGGACTAGGTTTTTAGCATTGGGTGTTGCTTTGTATGGAGGCTCCCTGAGCCCGGAACCCTGACATCTGCACTCTCATTGTTCGCCCCATGAGGAAGGTTGATAAGCCTCAACCCCAAACCCGAAGCCCCAAACCCCGAACCTTCAACCCTAACCCTCAACCCTGTACCCTCAACCCTCAACCCTGAACTCTAAACCCGGGCCCTAAACCCTAAACCCCTTCAACCTTCAACCTTCAACCTTCAACCCTCAACTCTAAACCCTAAACCCTAAACCTTAAACCCTCAACCCTCAACCCTCAACCCTAAACCCAAAACCCAAAACCCAAAACCCTAAACCCTAAACCCTCAACCCTCAACCCTCAACCCCCTCAACCACTCAACCCCTCAACCCTAAACCCTGAGCGGCCCAAAGGAGTGCAGCTTTCCCAAGAAGCTCCGGAACCTCAGCCTTTCAGGCCTGCCAGGCTTTAGGGTTTAGGGTTTAGGGTTCAGGGTTTAGGGTTTAAGGTTTAAGGTTTAGGGTTTGGGGCTTCCGTGCTTCAGGGTTTCAGGTTTTTGGGATTCAGGGTTTCAGAGTTTCAGGGTTTAGGGCTCAGGGGGCTTGCGGTTTAGGGCTTAGGGTAGTCGCAAGCCTAAACCTGAAACCCGAAAACCCTAACACCTGAAAGCCCTATAAACCTTAAACCCGAAAGCCCCAACCCCCCAAACCTTGAAACCCCAAGATCCTGCAACTTCGAAAGCCCTACAGCCCTGAAAGCCCCAAGCCCTAAAGCCCTAAACCCAAAAACCCACACCTCAACCCTGAAAACCCTCGAACCTTGAAGTCCCGAACTGAAACAGGAGAACCCTAAACCCCAAACCCTAAACCCGAAACCCTCCATCAGCAATGCAAAAAGCCCCAAAGCCCCCCAAAGCCCCCCAAAGCCCCCCAAAGCCCCCCAAAGCCCCCCAAATGAGTGTACCCTTATTCCCTAGACCCTGAAGCCGAATTCCTGGTCCACGAAGTACAGTAGGGGGCGGTAGCATGGGGTGTATGATCCCCCAGAAGTGGGTTCTCTTGAAAGCATAGGGTGTTGATTGTAGGATTCAGGGATTACAAGGGGCAAGCCCGCAACAAAGATCGTCTTCTAGAGATAGCCAGTCAGGGTGTCTGGTGATGCCAGAGCGTCCCCCACAAGTGCCTGGGCCTTTTGATCTCAGAACTCTAAACCCTAAACCAAACCCTACAAGCCCTAAACCCATTTCTTCTACACACTTGGAACCTCCTTGGGCCCAAAAGGGTTGACCGAAGCGCCTCTGGACACCCTAATACTCTTTCTAGACCCCCCGAGGTACGCGAGGTGCCGCGCACCCCCAAGCCCTAAGCCCTAGACCCTAATCCCTAAGCCCTAAACCCTAAACCCTAAATTGTGTTCAAGTCGTATCATACCAGCACTGCCCCAAACAGTGTAAGAATGAATGTGTATGGAAATTGTACGTGGCAACTGCCACTCGCAAGACTTGTAGTTTGCCGTCAACTCTGTTCTTCGCAACCCTGCCCCTTAAATGCACAACTTTAAACCTGGGCGAAACCCTGAAGCCCGAAGAGTTTTGGGTTTGGGTTGGGGTTCAAGATTTGGGTTTTGATGGGATGTCATCTGCTGCGGGCCAATAGGCCAGCAAGCAATGTTGAGGCTAAGGCGAAAGCCAGAGCCCAAGCGGCGCGCTTTTTCCAAGTTTTGCCTCGTTGTCGCAAGGACGTCAATCCAAATTTTCCGGCGCAAATTTGTGGCCAAGGTCATTAACCCGAAACCCTAAAAAAATGGTGAGTGTCGGAGCGTGCAGCCGCACCACAACACATGCCCTAGCTGGTGTGCGCGAACCGCGCGACAAACCCTAAACCCTAAACCCTAAACCCTAAACCCTAAACCCTAAACCCTAAGCCCTAAGCCCTAAACCCTAAACCCTAAACCCTAAACCCTAAACCCTAAACCCTAAACCCTAAACCCTAAACCCTAAACCCTAAACCTAAACCCTAAACCCTAAACCCTAAACCCTAAATACGCCCTAAATCCCTTTTCAAGCCCTGAAACCCTGAACCCTAAAATATAGACCCGAAATCTAAAACCCTAAACCGTATCAACCTGAAGTGAAGATGCCAGCCACAACAACAAGCTGAGCAAGCTGAGATTTACCAAGCCACAACAAGCTGAGCGACACTTACCAAGCCACAGCAGGCTCAGTAAGCTGAGACTTACCAAGCCACAACAAGCTGAGTCCGCTGACATCTACCAAGGCACAGGCTGAGTAAGCTGAGATTGCCACCCACAACAAACTGAGCACGCTGAGACTTGCCAAACCCCTCGCAAGCTGAGTAAGCTGAGATTTACCAAGCCACAAAAAGCTGAGTAAGCTAAGATCGACCAAGCCACAACAAACTGAACAAAAAAAAGCTGAGATGTGCCAAGCCACATCACGTCTACCAAGCCACAACAAGCTGAGTAAGCGGAGATTTGCCACCCGCGACAAACTGAGTACGCTGAGTTGCCAAACCACCACAAGCTGAGTAAGCTGAGATTTACAAAGCCACATAAAGCTGAGTAAGCTGAGCCTCATCAAGCTGAGTAAGCTCGTTCGAGGGCCCACCTGACGCAGAACGCGACTGCGCCGGAGCTGCTTTTGGTTTCACCACTTTTTTGCGTCTTCGCTTCGCCCACCGCCTGCTTGCCATGGCTCCCCGCAGCACGCTGGTGCCCCAACTCTCCGTGGAGACTGGGAACGCCAGGCACCTTGGCCATCGAGAGGTCGAGAAGGGGAGTTCGCAAGCAAGCGTTGTGCCAGGGATGGCCCCGATCTCCTGGCCATGGTGGGCGGTGAAGCTTGCCGGGGGCCTCAAGCGTGGGTTGAGGGTTTAGGGTTTAGAATTCTCCAAGTTGAGCACGTGCCCGCAAGTAAGGTTTCGCCAGCGCGGAGGCGTTCAAGTTTTGCGTCATCAGCGCCCGCCGGGCAGAGGCGCAGCAGGGTTATCGATAGACTTGCCGATCTTGCTGTGACGAGGGAGAGGGGAGGCAAATTTGAGAGAGAGAGAGAGAGAGAGAAAGAGAGAAAGAGAGAAAGAGAGAAAGAGAGAAAGAGAGAAAGAGAGAAAGAGAGAAAGAGAGAGAGAGAGAGAGAGAGAAGCAGAGGAGCTTCCTCAGGATCCCAACTCATCGCCTGCCCGCTGAGGGCTTCAGAAATCTCGAATATGGTCTAGCCAACAGCAGAATGGCGCTCCCAACTACTCTTGAGCCCACCTTTAAGTTTCCATGTTTAGGCCTCATATCCTTAGCCCTTCGCCAATGTCAGTGATGACGTTCAGATTACCATGCCTGTAATGCTTTCCCTTGTTTGCTTGAGTGCTGTAGCCCATGACCTTTGTCTATGTGCGTGTCAGTGCTGCGTGGATTTCATGACTCTCCAAGCTTCCGTCAGTTTTACGGCTCCTAGGGTAGCCTTCTTCTGTTTCACTTCCGAGCGGTGATGGGCGATCTGCCAAATGACCCATTCAATGACATCCCGGGGGACGCGGCAGGCGAGCTTCCAGAGCTCGACGCGAAAGCGGCTGCAACAGGGTGGGCCTCACTGTCGTTCAGCGAGCAGTTGACTTCGGATAAGCTTGGCTCATCCAACTTCTGGTTTACATCTGTCCCGGGTGATGATGTATTCGCGGCCCTCCAAGTGAAGGCAGATCCAAAGGATCTTGTCCCGGCTGAGCAGCGCGTCCACCTTGGCACCGTGGCAGCCCTGGCCCCTCTTGTGACCGCAGTGGACATCACTGACTCCGCGTTTCCTTCGACGGCCAAGTGTTTCGCTTTCACACAGGAGCGCTCCGGCATCCTGTTCGCGATCCTCAGCTCTTGGGAGAATGCCCTCGCCGAGGCATCCGCCTCACTTCCGAGTGAGGCCGCGCGCAAGGCCCTCAATCCCTACCTCCTGGGATTGAATCAACTGGGCGCCTCCAAAGATGGGCAAGGCGTTTATCAATGAAGTGGTCCAGGTCACTCACGTTCTCAAATCACTCGGCGCTGTTTCTCAAATCAACGCGCCTTCAGGACTTGGTGGTGAAGATGCAGGGCGATCAGAAACTCACTGTCACGACCCCACCTTGGCGAAGAAGCTCCTGACAGTGATGATTGGGGCCGATACCCGTGAGTGGCTCAAGTACCTGAACGGGGAGACCGCGCCCGACGGTGCTTCTGTGAACAATGCGCGCAAGGCGCAGCTTCTGTCTACGGCGATCTTGCTTTCAGCTCTCCTGCTGAAACCATTTGGTTTGGGAATTGCCAGCGCTTGGGGGCCACTCATGTCTGCCGACACCCACATCCGGCTTTTGCCGCCGTGGCTATCCTTCCTGGTGAATGAAGTGGCTGCGCTAACTAACACCACCGAAACGCCGGCATTCCTCCGGCTAAGGCACGCCGCCCAAAGCGTGATGTCGTCCGGAGCGAGGCATCAGATGCTCAGGATCCTGGGGTTAGGCAATGCCGAAAGCACCGAGGAGTGTGTGATTCGGCTGCTCAAGGAAAGCTCCTCCGTGGTAGTAGCCAATTTTGGTGCGATCGCTGCCTGTCTGCGGCCCTCAATGGGGCTGATGGGCAGAAGCCGCATTTCAGGATCCCTTGCGGGTCTTGCAGCCAAAAACCCTGATGACCTGCTCAAGGCATTGGTGCCACAGCTCCTCATCAACCATCGCTGCTGCGCAGAAGGTCATTTGGCCTCCCCGACGATTCACAGTGAAGATGCCACAGCTCTGGGGTTGATCTTTTGGAGGGCCCTTCGCGGTTCCCTCGAGCAGGCTGGGGTGGCGGGATCCCCTTTGGAGGATTTCGTGGACGTCTTGTCCAGCAAGTTACAGGAACACATGGGAGCGGGGATGCCAAGTACTGGCGTTCTCACCTGCCATGTGCCAACCGACCTCACGCAAAACATGTCTCACCAACAGACTCGGTGGAGCATGCCCCTTTGGGCGACCCATCCCTCCCCTCCCACTCCCCGCCCCCTCCCCCCCTCCCCCCCTCCCCCCCCTCCCCACTCCCCTCAAAAATGAAAACTAGTTCCAAAAAACAAAACGGTTCGTTCAACAACACGTTTCGTTCGAAACGTTTCGTTCAAAACTTTCGGTCAAAACGTTATTGGGACCCAAACCCTCTACAATTTCTACAAACCCTCAGCCCTAAACCCAAAACCCTTGAATCCCAAACCCTAAACCTAAACCCTTGAACCCCAAACCCCAAGCCCTAAAACCCCGAAGTTCAGGTGCCTTTCGTGGCCGCCTTGGCCCGCGAGCTGCCAAGACTCCGGCACCTCCGGACCCTGACGCTGGACTTCGACGGCCCGGGGCCGAGGGTTTGGAATTTATGGGTTAAGGGTTAAGGGTTTAGGGTTCAGATGGGTTTAGGGTTTAGGGTTTAGGGTTTAGGGTTTAGGGTTTAAGGGTTTAGGGTTTGAGATTTAAGGGCTCAATATGGGTTTCGGTTGTGGGGTATAGGTCGTTTTTGAAGGGTTTAGGGCTCAGGGTTTGGAGGGTTAAGGATTCAGGGTGTGGACTAGGGGTGACGTCTTTCGGGGATTTCGGATTTGAAGATTTTGATTCTGGTCATGCTTTTAGGGTTCAGGGCTTAGGGTTTAGGAGGTTGTCCAATCATCCTGAAGGGAGGAAAAACCTGCAGCAGCAACAACAAAGGTTTGGCGATTGTAGGGTTGCCTTAAGGCAAGGGGCTCGCAAGTGCACTTTCCCAGAAAAGCGACGCGTCTAAACCCTAAGCCCCGCGCCCTAAGCCCATTTTCAACCCCAAAGCTCCTGAATGTCATCAAGTCCAAGAGTCCTCAAGCCCTAAACGCATAAGACCGAAAGCCGCCAGAGCCAATTGTGTCAAGCTTTATGTTTCTGTCTGTTTGTATCTCTCTTGCTGTCTCTCGCTCTCGCTCTCTTTCTCTTTCTTTCTCTCTCTCTCTCTCTCTCTCTCCCGCTCTCTCCAAATCTCACTCTCTCTCGCTCTCTCTCCCTCTCTCTTTTTCATACACATGTATCTATGCATGTAGGTATGTCCTCTAGCCTTATCAGCCCCTCACGCCCTGAACGTGAAACCCTAAACCCTGAACCCTGAATCCTGAGTCCCAAGAGCCCTAAACCGTAAACCTAAACCCTAAACCCTAAACCCCAAACCCTAAACCCTAAACCCTAAACCCTAAACCCTAAACCCTAAACCCTAAACCCCAAACCCTAAACCCTAAACCCTAAACCCTAAACCCTAAACCCTAAACCCAGCAAGCTCTGGAGGCTGCTGCTGGAAGGCCTCCGAGGCGCGAGCTGTCCTGGACGCTGCGGCGCACACCAAGAAAATCCACGCCGACTTCGGCACCGGCTGTGTGGAGGAGCTGTAAGGCTTGTGGGCATCCTGTAGGGTTTAGGGTTTAGGGTTTAGGGTTTAGGGTTTAGGGTTTAGGGTTTAGGGTTTAGGGCTTCGGGCTTCGGGCTTAGGGTTTACAGTTTAGGGTTTAGGGTTTAGGGTTTACGGTTTAGGGTTAGGGAGTCGGAGCATCCTTATCCCTATACCCCACAAGGTATGCTAAAGTGAATCCGAGCTCTCATCATCCTTAAATCATGTTCCAACTTTCCGGGGCTTACTGTAAGGTTTATCGGTCTGATGTAGGTTTTTTGGGGGAATGTTTGGCCTTTATGCTTTTAGGCATTTTTAGTGCTTTTTTGGGCTTTTCAAGACTTCATTCTCAGGCTGTTAAGGGGTTGTTCGGGGTTTGGAGGGGTTGGTGTAGGGGCATGAGGTGTAAGGTTTCAGGCTTTTCGGGTTTAGGGCCAAGACTGCCCAAGTATCCATGACTTATAGGGTCTGTCAGAGAGGGGGGTTCAAGGGGGTATGTAACCTAAGGTTCTACCCTATGACATTTTCTAGGTAATTGGGTTTCGGTAAACGTTCGGGGTCTAAACCTGCTTTGGGGCGTAAGGATTTCGGAGGTACTTCAGGGCTGCAGGGCTTAACGGATTTTGGATTTCGGCTTTTCAAGGCTCTGCTGCAAACCCTCTAAACCCTGCACGCCCCAAACCCTGAACCCAAAACCGTAAACCCTAAACCGTAAACCCTAAACCCTAAACCCTAAACCCTAAACCCTAAATCCTCAACCCTCAACCCTAAACCCTACACCCGAAATCCCTCGGAAGGCAACCGAATGACCTCTACGCCCTAAAACTCCGAAACCCCCAAGGAGCGGGAGAAAACCCAAACAGGCTCACTGAAAGCCTGACACGAAACCCTTAGCCCTGGAGGGCCCGGGGTTCCCTAAACCCTAAACCCTAAACCCTAAACCCTAAACCCTAAACCCTAAACCCTAAACCCTAAACCCTAAACCCTAAACCCTAAACCCTAAACCCTAGACCCTAAACCCTAAACCCTAAACCCTAAACCCTAAACCCTAAACCCGAAACCCTAAACCCTAAACCCTAAACCCTAAACCCTTAACCCTTAACCCTTAGCCCTGTTTGGTGGGGGTGCCTTTAGGGGCTTTTGGGGTTTCAAGCTGTTGGGAGTTGAGGGGCTAGAAGGGGTGCTAGGGGGTTTTTGGGGCTAGTTGTTAGGGGGGAGGCTCTAGACTCGAGGGGGGTAGGGTTTTTGGGTTTTTTTTTATGGAATATTCGGTTTTGAAGGGGTTTTGGGGGTTCAAAGTTCGAACCCATGCTTTCCCGGAGGAGGACACGCCAGAGACGTGGAAAGCACTGTTGGGCCCATTCCAGGCTCAGCTCGGCCACTCTCTCCGGATCCGCTGGCATGCTTTCGGGTTTAGGGTTTAGGGTTTCGGGTTTCGGGTTTAGGGTTTAGGGTCTACAAGGGGTTTCGCAAACCTTCCCTCCCGTGCTTTTTTCTCGTCCAAAAGCCCGAAAACGCGCCAAAACCCCAGACCCTAAACCCTAAACCCTAAACCCTAAACCCTAAACCCTAAGCCTCAAGTCCAAAAAAACCTGAACCCAAAGTTAGTTAGAGGACCCCGACGGATCTTTCAGAGCAGACGCTCTACGCAATTTGGCTGCAAGGCTTTTGGGAGAAGCCCTGTGCACGAAGACATGCGCATGGACAAGCTGGCATGTGCCTCATGCATGTGGGTAAGGTAGGTAGGTAGGTATGTAGGTATGTAGGTATGTATGTAGGTATGTATGTATGTATGTATGTATGTAGGTATGTATGTATGTATGTATGTATGCATGTACGTATCTATGTACGTATCTATGTATGTATCTATGTCTAGCTTGTACGTACAGAAAGAAATTGATATAGATGAAGACATAGATATGGACATAGATATGGATATGGATATAGACATAACATAGATGTAGGCGTTTATATATTTGTCTGTCTGTCTATCTGTCTATCTGTCTATCTGTCTGTCTGGATTGTGCGCGTGCGTGCATGACATGCATCTTGCATATTGTAATTTATTCAAGCCTGGTTCCTTCCATCTGGAATAACTGGTTTGCGCACCGCGCTGGCGCTCGCCCCAATGCCTGATCACTCATACGCTCGCCACCATCCATCTGCCCCCTTGCAATTGCGAGGTGGATGTAGGGTTTAGGGGTGCAGGGTTCAGGGTTCTAAAAAAGGGGCCTTAATAATTAGAACAGGGTTCTGGGGGTTATATAAGTAAATTAAAGCGGGACCAGAAGGGAATACAGCGGACCAGAAGGGAATACTGGTAGTAATTCTTCCGACCCCTTATATACGTCCGGCGTCCAACTAGGTCAGAGCCAGAGAGATTCACGAGCCCCCCCCGCCCCCCCATCCTAAACCCTAAACCCTCAACCCTAAACCCTAAACCCTAAACCCTAAACCCTACACCCTAAACCCTAAACCCCAAACCCTCAACCGTAGACCCTAAACCCTGCAAGATGTGTTGTGTGCCGACTCAGACCAGCTGCCCTGTTCGCTGAGTGCGTTGGGGGGGGGGGGGGGGGTTTAGGGTTTAGGGTTTAGGGTTTAGGGTTTATGGGTTTATGGGTTTATGGGTGTATGGGTGTATGGGTTTATGGGTTTATGGGTTTAGGGTTTAGGGTTCTCCATATACTTAACGGCTCCGATTAGGGCTTCGGGAGCTCGGGGTCTTGGACTTCGTTTTATTTTTCGAGCTTGAGAGTTTTGAGTCGAGCCCTGGGCTCGGCTGGTGCTGATGGCCTCGGAGCAAAAAGCGGTGGTGGGGGCAGCCGAAGTTATCCTAACCCCAAGCCCTCCTACACCCTGATCCCCTGAGCCCTAAACCCTAAACCAGCCAGGTGGGCGGGGTTTTAGGGGTTTCGGATTTTGGGGTTTCAGGGCTTTTGGGGTTTGTTAGGGTTTTGGGGCTTTAGGATGGCTTTAGGTTTAGGGTTTCAGGGTTCAGGGATATGGGTTTAGGGTTTCAGGGTCTAGTGTTTAGGGTTTCAGGGTTTCAGGGTTTAGGGTTTAGGGGTTTCGGATGCCCAGGAAGCCTTCGGTGCGGATGGGTCATCCTCGAACGCATCCACAGAAGTTGGGGACCAAAGCTCTTGACGGCCTGGGGTGGAAAAAGAGGCGACTGTGGGAACCTGAGGGAAGGAAACCCTAAACCCTAAACCCTAAACCCTAAACCCTAAACCCTAAACCCTAAACCCTAAACCCTAAACCCTAAACCCTAAACCCTAAACCCTAAACCCTAAACCCTAAAACCCTAAACCCTAAACCCTAAACCCTAAACACTAAACCCTAATAGGACCCACTAACTAAGCGTTCGGCCTTAAGCCCTAAGGGTTTACGGGTTTGGCGGCAGAGGGTCTGGGGTTTTGGCGTTGGTTGATTTAGGGTTTGGGGTTTAGGGTTGGGGGTTTCGAGTAGATTGGTTCGTATAGGGGTTTGGCGGCTTAGGGCTTGGGGTTTGGGGTTGATTGATTTAGGGTGTATAGGCTTCAGGGTTTAGGTTTGGGGGTTTCGAGTTGATTGATTCATATCGGGGTTTGAGTTTTAGTCCGATAGTGGAGTAGGCTTCAGAATCTTTCGGAGGTTTTGGGTTTCGGAATGAGGTCCCATAAAAACCTTCGAAAGTGCTATACGAGGAACTTCATTCTCAAACTCCCCAAATCCCTAAACCCTAAAACTCTTAGCCCTCAACCCTAAAACACCCTAAACCCCAAAACCCTAAACCCCGAAGCCCTAAAATCCTAAACTCCCCGACGCTTACACCCCAAAGGTTAAGGGTCGTGGCACCCTAAAGTAGGGCGAACCCTAAACCCTAAACCCTAAACCCTAAACCCTAAACCCTAAACCCTAAACCCTAAACCCTAAACCCTAAACCCTAAACCCTAAACCCTAAACCCTAAACCCCAAACCCTAAACCCTAAACCCTAAACCCTAAACCCTAAGCCCTAAACCCGAAACCCTAGACCCTAAGCCCTAAACCCTAACTTGAAACATGACATCTTAGGTTCAGGGTGAGCGTAGTAAGCCCGAATTTCTAGACTCTGAACCCTGACAGCCCTAACTCTAACCGTCTGAACAGCGTTGTTTCTTAGTAGGGAATCAGGGGAATGAGCAACCACCTACTTGAACTCAAATTCCTAACCCTAAACCTTACACCCCAGACCTCGAGAAGCCTAAGCACAAGCCTCGGCCCAAAACCCGAATCCCTACGCCCTATGCGTTAACCTGCCCGGAAAAAAAGCTCAACCATTCTCAATCCTAAGCCCTGACGTTGAGAAGCTCTCACATCTAAAAAGCCCAAAGCCTCAGCGCTGGTTTTCCCAATCTCAAAGCCCTAAAGCCCAAGACCCTACTGTAAACCCTCTAAGCCCAAACCCTTACAACCTGAACCCCGAAACCTAAACCCTAAACCCTCAAACCCTGTAAACCCCTGAAGCCCTTACACCCGAAGCCCTAGAAACCCCTAAACCCGAAGTGCTCCCAGCCTCCCTCTTTTGAAAACTGCGAGAAGCACTTTAGGGTTTAGGGTTTAGGTTTAGGGTTTAGGGTCCGCGCGTGAAAAATGCACGCCTGGCCGTGGCCCTTTGGCTCCGGGGACTGCAGAGACCTGCTTTCAGTACGCAGGCCGGGGTATGCACGTGGGTTTAGGGTTTAGGGTTTAGGGCTTGGGGTTCAGGGCTTAGGGCTTCCGTTTTGAGAAGTTTGGGGGTTTTGGGGATGCGTCATTTCTGGCTGTTTGCTTTGGTGGTTCCGGGCTGAGAGTGGACTGCAAGTGCTTTTGGGGCTTTTAGGACTTCGGTTCGGCTTTTTTAGGGCTTCATAGCCGAGGCTCGATGGGTCTTTGTAGGGATTCGGGGGGGTTTCCGACGTTTGGGGGGTAAACTCCCATTTAGGGCTGCAGGTTTTTTGGGTTTAGGGTTTAGGGTTTAGGGTTTAGGGGAGGCATGAGTTTCCCCAACGTGACCCCACTTGCCCCTCCCTATAGATGCAAGTCTCCCTCGCCAGGGTTTAGGGTTTGCAGGGTTCATAAGGGTTTAGAGGGTTTATAAGGGTTTAGAGGGTCTATAGGGTCTATAAGGGTTTATAGTTTATAGGGTTTTATAGGGTTTATAGGGTATAAAGGGGTTTATAGGGGTTTTTAGGGTTTATAGGGTTTATCGGATTTCTAGTGATAGGATTGCATGTCGGGTAATGGAGGTAAGTGAGGGAAGTGGGGCAAGAGAGGATGGTTCCATGAGTGGGGCGTGCAGTTAGCAGTTTAGGGTTTAGGGTTTAGGGTTTAGGGTTTAGGGTTTAGGGTTTAGGGTTTAGGGTTTAGGGTTTGAGGGCTTCAGGGGTGGGTTTGTGACTAAAAGGAAGAGATGGCTAACAGCGTCAATAGAGCTCAAAGGGGAATGTGCCGCAATTGAGGTTTTGCAGGGGATTTTGGGCTTGAGGACTTGGGCTTTCCGTACAAGAATAAGGGGCTTAGGCATGTAGGGCATACAGTTACGGGATAAGGCTCCTGGGCAAGGGTTAGGGTGCTTTGGGGTTTGGGGTTTGGGGCTTTAGGGCTTTTCGGGGCCCCAGATCCGAATCCGCTTTAGGGTTTTAGGGTTCCTAAACCCTAAACCCTAAACACCAAACCCTAAACCCTAAACCCTAAACCCTAAACCCTAAACCCTAAACCCTAAACCCTACGCCCTAAACCCTCAACAATCAACGCGTGAAGCCAAGGTTCAGGTCTCAACCCTACTCAGCAGCTATGAGGAATGCTGCGAACCTTTCCTTAATAACTTCCTGAACCCTGTCCACCTAGGGTTTAGGGTTTAGGGTTTAGGGTTTAGGGTTTAGGGTTTAGGGTTTCCGGTTTCAGGGCTTTTAAGGTCCTTACATTGGGATGTTTCCCCCTATACTAGCAGTCCTTTTTTGGGATTATAGTACCGCCCTACTTTGAACCCTGTCAAGGGCTGCTAGTAAAAGGGGGAACATCCCAATCCTTACACCCGCTAAACCCTAAATCCTAAACCCTAAACCGTAAACCCTACAGCCCCCTTACACCCTAAGCTCCCCAGCCCTGCCACCTGGAAACCCTGAGCCCTACGCCCCAAAAATTTGGGGCTGAACGCCCGGAACCCTGAACCCCTAAACCCTGAACCTTAAACCCTAAACCCTGAACCCTAAACCCTAAACCCGTAACTCTAAACCCTAAACCCGGAACCATAAACCCTCAACCCTCAACCCTCAACCCTCAACCCTCAACCCTCAACCCTCAACCCTCAACCCTAAACCCTAAACCCTAAACCCTAAACCCTAAACCCTAAACCCTAAACCCTAAACCCTAAACCCCTACGAGAAGGTACTGAGACTGTGGGCGCTGGTGTGGGAACTCCGCAGGCGCTGTGGGGCATTTTGCCGATGGAGACCGCCGCGAGCCTCAGAAATCTTTTTTTCAGGGTTTAGGGTTTAGGGTTTAGGGTTTAGGGTTTAGGGTTTAGGGTTTAGGGTTTAGGGTAGTTTCAGGATTTTCCCCGGGAGCCAGATGGTTTAGGCAGAAGTAGCTCTAAACCCTGAACTCGAAGACCCTGGACCGAGCACTCCAAAGTGCCGGAATTG